GGCGGAGCGGGCGGGACGGGCTGGCGAGGGAGTAGGAGGTGATGAGGGAGATGAGCGCCGACGTCTTGCCGGTGCCCGTCGGCATCTCGAGCAGCGCGTGGCCGCGCGCGTCGAGGGCGCGCTTCAGCTCGCCCATGTACGCGTGCTGCTCCGGGTAGATCGCCGCGTACGGGAAGTGCACCGTCAGGCCCTCCAGGTCGAACTTCATCGCGGCGGCGAGGTCGGGGCCGGTGGGCCGCCGGAGTTTGGAGGAGAGGCGGAATCGCCGGCTGCACGCGCCGCCGCCGCCGCCGCCGTGGGGAGGGGAGGGTGTGCGCGTGAGGTGTTCGTTACAATGCCGTGCCCGTGCAAGAGCAACACGACTATGATGGGCTAAGTAGGCCGGAGATATGTCCGAGATGGGCTGGATTATGGGCCATCTTATGGCCCAATACTAGCAGTAAAAATTTATTCTGCTACAATATACTCCTCTGTTTTTTAATAGATAACATCATTTACATTTTAGCACATGTTTAATCATTTGTTTTATTAAAAAAATATGTAAATATGTAAGATATAAATCATGCTTGAAGTACTTTGATTGATAAAACAACTCACAACAAAATAAATTATAATTACGTAATTTTTATTAATAAAACGAATGATCAAACGTGCGATAAAAAGATCAACATCGTTATCTATTAAAAACGGACGCAGTATAAATCTTGCGTTAACAATGCCTAGTTAGTATTGTATGGTTTCAACGCATCAGATATGGTTTTGTTATATCATCTCTTTTTAATACATATGAATATCCTGACTTTATTCGGTGGAAGGGTAGCTTTGACCACTATTTTTCAAGAATATAATAATAATATTTAACAAACTTATAATATAGCAAAATTACTTATAAATAAAAGAAAAAATGTCTAATTTACTGCTCCAACTATATCAGTGGAGCACTTGACACCATAAACTACCGTTGGATCTAAACATGAACGTCTGATATAATTTGGCCACGTTATCGAGGTGATGTGGCTAAATCTCAGGCATCAACTTTTTATCCAACTATAGTTTACATGTTTCCACTACATATTTTTTTTTATTTCTAGTGGATTAAAACATATGCACTGCATATGTCTCTATATCTATCTGAGAGCTCCTTTGGAGCACATTAATTTTGAAGGATTTTTTTTAGTAATTTAGTTTAATTTCTCCAACAACCGTTTGAAATTTGTTTATTTCATCAACTTGATAAACAAATTATATGTTTTCTCAAAAGGAATATAAATTGTAGAGAAAAGATGCGTAACAGATTTTTCTTAAGGCTAGACTTCATGTTAGACTTTCTACATGTGTTTGATAGTGCAGTAGCAAGAGATGTGTGGTTCAACTCCAAGGTCACGTGTTCAATCCCGACACGATAATTTATTCTTAAAAAAATATTTAGAGGGACGTCTCTTCCTCCAAATCAATCTCTCTCTCTCTCTCTCTCTTTTTGTGTGTATCGGACTCTCTTGGGAATACCTAGGAGAGCATAGTCATATTTTATCACTTTACGGGAACACAAGTGTACATTTTTATATTCGTATTGGAAATAAAAGTTGAATATGAATATGGTTTGTCAAATTTTCCACAAGCGAAATCTGGAGAAGATCGTTCGCACGTTCCATAGGATGGAATGCAGGAGGGAAAACCTCCCAAATCTGCAGTTTTCTGCTTCTTCCTTGGTCAATATATATGTTTCTAGCTAGAACTTTCAGTTACTGAGTTCTTGGTTTTTTGTGCTAGGGGGAAGTTGCAACCTTAATTAGGTTCAGAGAATTTGGTTTCCACCGTGGAGTTTGTTCTTTGATTGTGTATGCAATGCTCTTGGACGCTCAATGAGAATTGTTCGTGATGCAGGAAGAATTGACCAAAGATCTCGTGAGGATAGAGAGATGCATTTTGAAGGAAAATTGGGTTCGTTTGCCATGTTCAAGTGTCGAACACCCTGGAATGATTCTGTGTCCCACTATTTCATTTCTTGATACGTTTTCCCTCAATTAGTGTTTCAGTTTTTTTTTCTTAAATCAAAGACTTTGATCAAGTCTACAGAAGAAAATAACACATCTAAGATACCAAATAAATACACTATCAACACATATTTCATGATGGATTTCAATAAAACTAATTTAATGTTGTGCTATGTATGCGTGTGTATTTTTTTTATATAGATTTGATCAAAGTTAGACATTTTCAACTTAGAACATGTGACATTCTGACTCAATTAGGAGTTGGTCTGTGTGGCTCATGAGAGTTATGTGTGTATATTTAGTACCACATTACTAATTTAGTAGGGTAAAAACAATTTATAAGGTCTTGTCCTTCCAACCATATTATTCCTGGGTTTAACCATTTTACACGAAGGGATGACGAAAATATAAGTTATGTGGTATTTGCAAGTATGCCCGTCCGTCAGATAGATAGAGCTGTGCAGTTCTTGAGGAATGGCTGTTATGCGAGTAAGTTGGACCGACGAGAGTTGGATTGTGTGGGTTGGTTTGGAGGGAGCTCTATTACATAACAAAACAGAAAGAACGGGAACAGAGAGAATAGTTCAATTACTTCTACAAGCAAGAACTCTCTCCCTTTTTTAATATATAATGTTGTTAATTTTTTTAAATATATTTGAACATTCGTCTTATTCTATATATAATTTATATAATTATCATTTATTATATTGTAACTTGATTTATCGTCAATTTTTTTAAGTATAACTTAATTTTTATTTTTAAAAAATTAAATAAGATGAATGGTCAAATGTATAAAAAAAAGTTAACGACGTCGTATATAAAAAAAGAGAGGTAGTATTCAGTTATGCATTCCCTCGTGATATGTATTTCCTATTAAGGCGCCGATTGCGTTGATAGCGATGGTTTTGCCTTTTGTGATATCATTGTCGCGATAAACTTCATACTTGGATAAACAACAGTTTGATGCTTCAGTTTAGAATTTATTCTTGTCTTTTTCTCACATGCTTTTGTAATATGGGTTGAAATACTTACACAGTACACGTGCATGTGCATCACATTATTTGTGTTCACCTTTTTTTTTCCTTTTCACGTGCCATTTCAGTGACATTCATTTTAGATTCATACGTGGCAACCATTTTTATGCTAATTCTATTCATCAGCTTGTGTACAACTCTTTGTATGAAATTCAAGAGCGAAGTAGTTGCATGGTTATATACATATTTTTTTGATAATTAACATGGGCTATATATATGCCACAGCCGGAAGATTGAGAATTTTTGTTACAAAAATAAATGTACAACGAAGATATGAATTTTTACGTAAAAAAACATTGCGGGAAAAAAAACCCACATGCTCCAACTAGCAATAATCACTGCTGAGAAATTGGTTACAAATGCAGGAGATAACAAGGCCACTGTGCTCTCCCCGTAATCCATGGCAGATACTCTTTGGTACTGCCTTCGTTCCAAAACATAAGTGATATTGCCCGTATAAACACACATCAAAATCCTTTATATTTTGGACAGAAATATTAGTTACTACCTCCGAGCTGATAATACTTATTGTTTGAACAAGGACACGTTCTTCAAAAATATTTTTGACCACTATTTTCTATTGTAACATATATAAACATTTCAATAAAATATATGATTTTATTGAAGTACGTTTTAAGACCCATCTATACACATGATCACCGTATTTCTAAGACAAATGTTTTAGATATTATTTATAGCCCATATTTTTTAAGTTTGACAATAATCTTGTTTAAAACGATAAGTATTATCAATCCGGAAGGAGTATGAAGCACGAATTCAGCAAGTATGCAGAGTTGTTCCTAAGCTGCAATATATTCCTTTTAATGACTCATTTGCTATTAGAGCATAGAAGAGATGATGCCAAAATGCCAAATATGCTGTCAAAGTTTTTTTTTTCCATTTTCTGATCTTGTAGTGACAAATAAAGGATTTCTGTTGGAATTTAGACAATTAAGTTTGCTATGACAACCATGCAAAAGTATAATAACCATGAATCAAAGAAAATTCATCAAATTGTATACACAAAGGGCAAACGACTTTTTTTTTGAATTTTAAACTCCTCTTATATTAGTGTGTAACTTAAGATTGATTGAACTACCAATTTGTTACAAATCTATGTTTTGCCTGGCTATGCAAGCAGCAAGCACAATGGTTATTGGTTGATGTCAGCAGGGAGATTTGGAACAGTCTGATTTTGTACTTGTTCAGTCCACATCTGCTGCGGGTCGTACCTTGCAAGAACTTTATTTTGACTATGAGGGGCTCCGTTAGTCTCTTTTAATTTCGTCAATGTTGAATTCAAAATGCCAAGATATTTGGCTGTGTTTAGATCCAAAGTTTGGATCCAAACTTCAGTACTTTTCCATCACATCAATCTGTTATACACACACAACTTTTCAGTCACATCATTTTCAATTTCAACCGAAATCTAAACTTTGCGTTGAACTAAACACAGCCTTAAGTAATAATGAAAGCTTGACCCAACTATGTACATTGATTGTACAAATAGAATTACATCAGTTTGAATATTTTATTGAAAAAAACGATAAGATAAAACTCATAACTGACGTGCTACTAGATATTCAAACATATCTAAACATACACGGATACACCACCTAACATGTGGACCCATAACATGATAGAGATACTTTATCTGTTTTCGAATAAACCAACTTCGTATAAAATGTGACACATCTTAATACAATAAATTTGAATATATTAAGATGTGTCATATCCTATACTCTTATTTTATTTTGGATATATAAGACTTTTACTTGTTGGAACTTGGAAGCCTTCAAAGTTTTTTTTTTTTTATCTACGTTCTAGGTAAAGATGTAATTTTATTATCAATAAAGTTCTCATCATCGAAAAATTCTTCTTCATCCAAAGCCACTTTCACGATTAAAAAAACAAAGATACATATCTTAATTGGAACCAAAAAAAAATATTTTTTTAGGAGTATAATATATTCTCTCAGTCTACTTGGATGCAGGCAGCATATGATTCATGTTCCCAGCTAGTAATAAAAGTCTCTCCTTTTTGTCGCCGCCTCGGCTCCTCGCCTTCGCCGGTCGCCGCCCGCCTCTCCTTCTCCGGCCAGTCCAGCCGCCGCCGCCGCCTCCTCCGGCCGCCGTCCCGCCACCTAGGTGAGGCAAGAACCTTCCTTACTCCCGTATCATAAGCTATCTTGGTAATCGATTTTACAAGATGCTGGGCTTAATTAGCCGGCGATTGGCGATTCACATTGTGCATTTCGTGTCGCGAGTTCGAATCCGTGCTCGGCTAGTCGATGCTGATCGTGTTGCTGTATCCTGGTTGGTTCCGATTCCTTCTGGCCATCGATCTTATCTGGATTACCCCAAGCAGACAAAATCATCTAATCGATGCCGTACACTCGTACTCCAGTACATTGCTTTAATTATCTCATGTTCTTGATTTCTTTCTTGTATATGGATAATGCCAGAGGGGACAAATGTAGTGGGGACTCATTGGTAGGTGGATCGTGGATACCAGGAAAGTGGTGTTGGATAGTTTGATAGGCTGCTTCCCTACTAGGCTATTGTTTGGGGGTAGTGGTCTTATTTGTAGCTTCCTTTTTTTTTCCTTTTTCTTTTATTAAAAAGAAGACCTTACTATTTACCAGAGATTGACCAAAATGAGTATTTAAGGATGAGGAGCAAGATGTGGTTTTGCACTTCCATGTTTGTTCACTTGTTCAGGGAAGTGTACAGGTTAGATTCTAAAAGTTTTCAACAATTTGCACAGGGATTTCTTCTTCAGCTGCACCGCGAAGAAACATGGATAAGCTCGATGGCTCTGCCCGTCTTATGATAGTTTCCGATCTTGACCAGACAATGGTGCGTAGTTAAACTCATCCCTTATCTATCTAGACTCAAGAACTACCCATACTGTTATGTTCTGTAGCTACAAAATGATTGATCTTTTTTATTTTTTGTTTGCAGATTGATCACAATGATCCGAAGAACTTGTCCTTGCTTAGGTTCCAGGCGCTATGGGAGTCCGAGTTCTCCCAAGATTCTCTACTGGTCTTCTCGACTGGAAGATCACCTATCAGTTACAGGGGTTTGAGAACACAGAAGCCTTTGATCACTCCAGACATCACTATCATGTCTGTGGGCACTGTGATAGCATATGGTGAAGAGATGATTCATGATGTTGGCTGGGCTGAATTCCTTAGCAACAAATGGGATAGGGATATCGTTGTCGAGGAGACAGCTAAGTTCCCTAAGCTGAAGCCTCAGGCATGTTCAATGAATTGTTTGATTACAAATCCTAAGTAGGTTTTCCATTTCAATGAGTGCACTAAAAATTGTGTCGATGCAGCCAGAGAGGAGTCAGGGTCCTCATAAGGTTAGCTTTTTTGTCGACAAGGAGGGTGCTCGGGAAGTTATGGATTCTCTCCCTGAGACGTTAAATCGGCGTGGGGTAAGTCTGCGAAAGTGTGGGTGACTTACTTTTATTATGAGTGACATTGCTTAATGTTGTTTTAATTTTACCATGCTCCTTCTTTTCTATGATCAGCTAGATGTTAAAATAATCTTCAGTAGTGGTGAGGCCCTTGATGTATTACCACAAGGTGCAGGAAAAGGCCAGGCTCTTCTATATTTGCTGAAAAAGTTCAATTCAGATGGGAAACCACCAAACAGTACTCTTGTTTGTGGTGACTCTGGCAATGATGCAGAATTATTCAGTGTCCCATCTGTTCATGGTGTCATGGTCAGTGAGTCACTGCACAAGGAATCACATGAAACTGTCCACTAAACTGATGGCAGTGGTTTTCGTTGTAAGCTTATTACAGGGTTTTGAAATCATGTTCAGGTCAGCAATGCCCAAGAGGAGCTGCTTCAGTGGTATGAAGAAAATGCCAGGGGCAATCCTATGATGATTCATGCAACCGAGAGGTGTGCTGCTGGCATCATGCAAGCTATTGGACACTTCAATTTAGGACCTAACGTTTCCCCAAGAGATCTTGAATTCCCTTACCCGAAGTTAGACGCCATCAAACCTGCAGATGTTGTGGTGAAGTTTTATGTTCTCTATGAAAAATGGCGGCAGGGTGAGGTTCAAAAGGCCCCATTCATTATCCAGTATTTGAAAAGGATTACTGTAAGTACATTCCTCAGCTACATTCTTAGAATAACTCAGTCTAGCTTTGTTCATAAACCCCTCTTTTTGAAATCAATCATACCTTTTGTCGACTGCTATAGTTAGGTTATGAAAAGAGGTAACTATATAATTTGTGTCAGCATGTTATCTATAATTTTGCAAAAGTAATTTCAGACCATATGATACCACTTGTCTCTTGTCTGGCGAAATGTACATATTTATGATTCTTTTTTTTTTGGCGAGGATATTACTGGTTCATATTGGTTTCCTTGAGCAACATTTAAACCGATCTTCTTCTTCTTCTTTTATGTGTGTTAGCATCCTAATGGAACAACTATTCATCCTTCTGGAAGGGAGTGTTCACTTCATGCATCCATTGATGCACTGAGTTCATGTTATGCTGATAAACAAGGCAAGAAGTTCCGAGTATGGGTGGATAGAATTGTCGCTTCATCAATCGGTACAATTAATTGGCTGGTGAGGTTTGACAAGTGGGAAATGGAAGGTATATCCTCAGATTATTTGCACAATAGATTAGTCACAGTAGTTATTCCATCCCTGTAGTTTTTCTTTTCCTTTTTTGTTCAAAATTCTAAATGGTTTCTTGGCATAATTTTCCATTCTATTGCTCCATGATTATTTTATTCTTCTTATTTCCTCTGTCCACTTGTCCATTTTATTCTTTTTCATTGGCTTGCACGTCAATGTTAATGGTCCTGCTAATCTCAGGCAATGTTCGGTATTGCTGCCTCACAACTCTTCTGCTGACTATGAAGGTACACCCTCACAGGCTCACAGCTTTGTACATATACTAGTTGAATGTCCATGCTTTGCTGCGGATAAAAGAAAATACATCATAATACTGCCTAAAATAAAATTTTCATGAAATGTGTTATCCATTTTGTTTTCTAAAGAGAAGATTTACCTTAATTTGATTTTATATGTGGATATCCATTTAGATTTGATTGTTTCTTGTATTAAGAAGTTTAAGGGGTATTTGCAAATTTTACAATGGGAGTAGATGGGGTGGCAGATTCACTGCCACCACCACTAGCTCATTTTAAAGGAATATAGATTTTTATATCCTTCATGTTTACAGACTTTCTTGTGTACATCTATGTTCATATAAAATCTATATGTATCCTTAAATAAGGTTATCTGCTTAACTCGCAGCCTGAGACTGAAGATGGCTTCGAGATTACACACATCCACAAGACCTGGCTTGAAGGATACTCTGCAGGAAATGAGCATGCATGCATCCTGTAGGCCATTTAAATACATGCAACTTACACAGAAACATGAGGAAATTTTCATCAGGAGTCAAGATAGAATAACAAGTGTACTCACTGTTGCGTGGATTTGATCCCAAATACTCGTAGTGTTATACTGGGGTACTCACAAATGGATTGATGCTCTTGCTGATTCATGTACAGTTCATGAAATTAAGCAAATAAACTCACTGTACCAGAAATTTTCTCGATGTACATGGATCTTGATACTTTCTTAAAGCTCATTTTAAGGTTGTCATTTTAAAGCGGCTTTGGGCAGGCATCACCGGGGACCCTGGGAAAAAGACAGCAGGCCGTTTTACAGATGAAGAAGCAAGCGACAAACAGAAGGAAAAGGGAAACAAAAGCTTGCAATAATGATCTCCTTTACATAATATTTATACACTCTGCACACAGGAGATAAGATCAAAGAAAAAAAAAACATGCTGCTGCATAGCTTCGATCCTCCCCTTCCCCACACATATAACTATCAGTCTACATCACGCCGTCCACCGGGCGCTTCAGCGATCCGGCAGCTGATGCCCACCGTCAACCACTATGCTAGGCAGCTCGCTCTCCACGCCGCCGGTGGTCGCCGGCGCGGTCACCGCGGCGGCCACATGAGAAGCGCCGTTCTCGGCGCTCGCCATGTCGTCGCCGCCGCCGTGCCGAACCACCACCTGCCGCAGCAGCAGCCCCTGCAGCCGCAGCAGGTAGCTCTGCCCAGCCGGCTGCGACGACCTCACGTACCGCGCCATCGTCGCCGCTGTCACCTCGCTGGCCGACGGCCGGTCCGGCTCGGAGGATGGCCGGAGGTTGTTGAGCGCGCTCAGGTCGAGGTTGGGGAAGACGGAGCACCGGCAACGGGGGCACTTGACATTCAGCCGGAGCCACTGGTCGATGCACTCCACATGGAAATTGTGCGCGCACGGGAGCCCACGGACCTGCATAATGGATTGGGAAAAGAAGTCTTTGTCAGTCCTTAAAAATGCTGGAGAACGTAACTTCATAAACCATCTCTAGTCTTGTTTTACCCTCGAACTAACAAAAATGCTCCACTTTACTTCTAACCATGCTTTTTTATTCTTTATACAAGTTATATTCTTCGTTGAAATTGTGGCATGTACACATTATTACTCTTTTTTCTTTTTTTGAATTTTTGTTCACTATTTGCATAGGTTAGACACACCTAAGATAAAAATTTAAATATAGAGATTCAACACTGCATACAGAATTTCATGATAGAAGTATTTTGTAAAGTAGTTTATTTTGTCATCAATGGTTGTACAAATTTTAGCTTAAGTATGCCTTGTATAAAGACGGAAAAGAGATGTGTTACAAAGAAACAAGATGAGCTGTTTTTATATGTAGTTTAGGGGATCAAATGGGTAAAAGAAATAGTTCAGGGAGTTGATTGCTGGCAAAATAAGTTAAATGGACTTTTTTCCTGATGGATTCATGCCACATACAAACACATGAAGAAGCACCATGTGCAAATACTAGTAGAATTGCAGTTCAATCAAGTTCTCTACTTGGTGTCTGTAATTTACCTCGTTGCCAACATGGAATTCCTCCAGGCAGATTGGACACTCACTGCAGTCTGTAGGAACAGCTTTCAGTCTGAACTTCGGGAGTTCTTGAATCAGTGCCTCAACTGCCTCTCTCTGCAGAAGGAGGACCAATTTAAAATCATTCTGCTCAATGACACTGGATTTCAGTGTTACTGCAGTGTTCAACAATGGTCCCAAATGCATGCATTTGGGCAAACATTGGAAAGAAAGGTATCTAAATGCCTTTGATCAGGAAACATCACCCTCAGTTAGATTATCACAAAAAGATCTGCCAGTGCTTGGCAACAAGCTGGGGCAAAAATATTGTGGTTGCTAATTAGTATTAGTTTCTTTCCTGTCCTTTTCTACTGCCTCTATTGAGTTCTATTCCTCATACTCTCTGTTTTGTACTGACCTTTGCTCCTTAATACAAATCCAGAAGTCTTCAGAGACTTCTTTGCATCTCTGAGATCGCTAGCAAATAAATACATGGAAATTTTGTCTAGCTAGATTATACCAACAGCTAGCAGACAGTACGACCCCTTGAATCGAATGTACAGCTAAATGCCTAAATATAAGCAAATAACAGAATCAATCAACACACACACTAGCGATATGTCGAAAGGCGATTCATCAAATTGCGCAAAGCAACTTACTTGGGCAGCTGTTAAATAAAGACCAGGATGATATGCAGTATCTTGGCCCATTCCTCTCATTTCCAAGCCAACGGCCTCAAATGCCCAATCAGGCACACGGATCATGTCAACCAAAACCTATAGATGATGACAATAAAAAAAATTGAAATCCTCCCTACTTAAATATAAAGCTAGTAGTTGAGACAAGTAAGCTGCACAAACTGAATTGAACAGGCAAGCATGGAAAAAGGGCGTGCAATGCTGTAGTTTCATATTTTTCAAACGTCTACCATTGACAGTTCACTGGACAAAATCAGCAGCGAAAACGAACAAAAAATCTTACCCCATATTCAGAGACTGGTATTCCCTGTTGTGCCCTCTGCTGGAGAGCATGCCTTCGGCTTAGCCACTGCAACAAAATTAAAAGTAAAACATGGCGATATGCCCTCTGTGAATTTAAATATACATTTTTTTTAACAAAAAAGCGCTGTAGGGAAAGCCCCCACAGTTGCTTTATTAAAATAAGAAGGCAAAATAAAATTACAAGAAATCTACCAAAAGTTCTGACTAAAAAAAGATCTAAAGCCAGTACAACCATGAGGATTAGGGTTCTGCTATCAGTATGGCTTCTGCACTAATAGTCAATATGAAGGAAGACGTACACTACCCTTCATGCTTTTAAAAGAAGAAAAAAATAAATGGATACGATTTCTAGATGATGCAAAGAAGATATGAAATTATGAATACATCAATGCCAAATAACAATTCTCTATAACTAAAACCTTAACATCTTCAATCTAAATGACATCTAGATATAGTATGTATGACTGATGGTATGACACTCAAGAAGACTGAATCTTTGCACAGTAATCATGGATAAATCGATGAACGATAATATGCGGATCCAATGCAAGATTGCAGTTTGTACCGACATATCTTATAGCAGTACCTTTCCAACAGCCACACACGCAATACAGGCGAGACCACAGTAGCTGAAAAGCAGCCATATAAGGAAGCCCCATTTTTGTCCTTCCTCGGGTAACTACATATAGAGTGAGTGTATGTTAAGTAAAACTTCTAAATATTTGGTGATGAGCATAATACCATAACAATAAGAAAACTTACACAGCCTCTTGCAGTGCTAAACCACAATGTTCCTATCACAGTCCAAACCCAAAGAAAGGGATAGAGAAGAAGCACAAGAACCGACAAGACAACAATTCTCCCACAAAAACGAGCATATCTCTGTTGCCATCCAAGATCCCTACAATTACCAGCCACAAAAAGGACAAACGTCATACTTTGGAAAAGTTTAGAAGGTAAGGACCAACATACAAAGGTGGACATTGGCAAGTTAGCAACTCTATTTTGTAGGCGATACTCAAGCCTCTTACAACTGTAAGAGGAAATACTTATGTGCTGTCCTATTGCACAGTGTTGCTTTAATGATAGAAACACCTCTTGCATGCTGTTTCTTTATCACAGAATGACAAATTTGTTATATGTACTCCTTTAGAAAGAAGGTAGTGTGGTGGCAGGGAATCTGCTACCAACACCTCCACTAAATTTCTTACTAATTGCTCCCTTAAATTCCTGAAAATGACACTTCTACCTTCCAAATGTTGTTTATTTTTTTCCCTTTTTTTTGTATTTGGCTTTCTAAATTCGCAATTTTACATGGAAATGTCGAAGATGACCAAATTTTACAAATAGACATGTGTAGACATTGTCAAGTGCTCTTGTAACAGAAAAGGAAAAGGTTTACAGGTTCAATGCAACAATCACATATATATGTTCCGAAAATGCAAACAGACTTATTCTATTCATTTTTATCTGTATCAAACATGTGGGCATACAGCTAGTCTTAGAAAATATTCTAAGAGCATATTCTGTTTGAACTTTGAAGTTACACGTTAAAATGGTAATACTACAAAAATCTAAATATGAAATATTTCAATGGCATATTACGGCAAATCTTCAAAATAAGACAGTAAGTTGCACAGAAGAAAAATAATACAGTAATGGCTAAATAAAAATAAATTGAGACTTCTATCTTCTGAAATGTTGAAACTACAAACTATATTGTTTTGCACTACAAACTATATTGTTTTGCGCCATGAACTCATCCAAAATTAGCAGACGGTTAAAAGGTTATATCTCATCTGCTCAGGTAATAACCATGCAAAGAGGCTGTTTAGCCTTATGTCCCTTCATAAACGTATTTTAATTATAATTTGCTCGTTTAAAAAGAGCGGAGGCTGAGGTTGCAATCAAGATAGTCAAGACAAAAATTGGTCAGGTTGCCTATTACAGGAATTTCCTTTTCTCCCGAAAGGGTACAAATGTCATTGTCAATTGTTGTTCTTCCTTTTTTGCTAGGCTGCTTTTCTCGATTTAGGGGTGACATCAAAATTTCATGTATGCAAATTTCATACTAGTCCATAATTAAAAAGAACTAAACCCAGTGGTAAGTTTGGGGTCAAAATGGTACAGATTTGTTCTGTCTAGCAGAACAGAACAGCCCACCCAAAGCAGAGGAAAATGACAACCACTGTCTTTACCCCTACAATCCATTTGTAGGTCTACCATAGGTATATTGTGACAGGAGAGATGAGGTTGAAATAGAAGGAGATAGTAGTTATAAACTTACAATCCCATGCCGGCGGCAAGGCCATTATCGACGAACATGAGAAGGCGGAAGATGAAGACGGTGGTGTAGTCAACCTGGGAAAAGATGAGAGAGTGAGATAGAGGAATAGCGGTTTGATTTGAGATAGATGTTGGATTGAGGAACTGACCACGATCCATATGTGCAACGGGTGGGCGCAGAGACGATACCTCTTCCAGTTGATGGAGACAATGATTCTGGACAAAGTTGAGGAGGAACAATAGCAATCGATGAAAATGTATCAGTAAAATGCACATTGCACTGGGTAAATTGTTTCATTTTTCCACCATGTTTTGTACATTCTCCCCCTTTTTTCCTCCCCTTTTTACCTTCCTCTTTTTCATGTACCTTCTTCCTGTAACTTTGTAACCATCTATTTTTGTCAATGAAATGGCTATAAGTTAATAAGGTAGCTGGCTCTACCTTCTTATGTCAAAAAAGAAGAAAAAATCCACCAGGTTTAGTCTAAACTTTCACTTTGCATTCACATAACACCCGCCCAACCCATTGCACCTAGTCCGGTGCAAATTGAAATGTAGGTTAATCTAACTGGTGCAAAACGTAATCGACTCTAACAAAAACTGAACGCGCGGCGAGCGAAATTCTAATAATTAAAACTGAAAGCATGGTGAGGAAATGATGAAAGGATACAGGCTGGTGGCGAGCATGGAGAGGAAGAATCCATCGTACCTGAAACCAATCAAGCAAAGCAACAGATGAATAGATTCTTCAAAGCATATTACAGCCATAGCGGGGAAGGGGGGAGTAGAGAATAAACTTAGTACCACTTGAAATCGACCCCCCGCATCGCCATGGCCTGCTAGCTAGATCTGGCCGGAGGAGCGCGGCAGCATCCACGCCCCCGCACTCCGCTCACTTCAGTGAGCCCCTCACTTCAACTCCAGCTAGGGTTTCTCGCGAGGAGAGAGAGAGAGAGAGCGGCGTCGCACTCGGCGGCGGGGCGGGGCGACGCGAGGAGGAGGGAGTACGGCGTCCCCCTCCCGGCGTCGACGCGAGTAGGGCCCCCGCGCGGCGGCGGCGGCGGCGCCGGGAGGATCGCGAGCGGCGAACGCGCCGGAGAGAGGGGGAGGAGGCGGCGAAGCGAAGAAGCTTTTCAGCGGCGAGTTCGTCGTCAGTGGGAAGGGGAAGTGGTTTGCGGGGGGGTTCACGCTGGCTTGATCCTGACGCTTCGTCTCTGATCCGACGGCTGATGAGATGCCACCGATCTGCTAAGAAGGGGTAAGACTACAGAGGAAGAAGGTGAACGACTGCATCTACCAGTTGGAACACGGCATTGTACATGTACTACCTAAAATCAAGCAAAGGAAAGCAACAGATTGATAAATTTCTCAAATTAAATCTCTTTTTGTTTCTTTGATGATGGCAAACTTCTGGTAAGTATTTGATATGACAGAAAGCTGCTTGGACAGTTGTATTTAGGTACGATGTAGTTATTAATTTATATTATCCTCTTTTCGATCTCCTACAATGAAGTAGAAGAGTGGCATTATGCTTTGCTTCAAAGGTAACTAAGGTTTTGACATCTAATTCCTTTTCAAGTTGAATTTGCACAGTATTTCTGTGTTTAATTTGGTGCCGATTTATTTCTTGACGTTCTAACATGCATAAATACTGAATTGAATGATTTAGAGCATGACAAAGCGGTGGTGCAGTGAATTTGTTATGAAACTTCTAGTAGCATTAATATTGTATGACTCCTTTTTTAGTTCCTCGGCAACTAAGGAGAAACAAAGTTTTTAATTAAAATCGCACTAATTTATTTCTTTGTGCAATTCTGGAACAAAGAAATTGGTATTTAAGAATATGCCCAGAAAATTCCAACCAAAGAATATGATTCATATCATAGGAATTTTAGAAGTTTAACATGAGCCTAAAACCCTCTCTCTTTTTTTTTTGATACATTCAAGCAACCAATTTCAACACTTCCTGGATTTTAAAGTTTGGATTTTAAAGTTAGTATTATGGATTTAACTACGCATGGTGGTTCAGATTTGGAAATAAGTTGTGCAAAGTTCGTCTTTAGAAAAGGACAATTAGAAAGGTTAAAAAAATTAAAAAATAACTGCAAGGTGTTGTACCAGTCTAGATGGAGAGGGAAAGGTTTTTGTAAACAACAGCTATGCATAAGTTAAGTGTAGCATAGAAAATGATGCTCCCTCCGTTTCACTCGTTTTAACTTTTTCTAAGTTAGACTTATTTATATTTGAATTATTTTATAAAAAAACATAATAATATTTTTGATAAAACATTGTATTAAAAATACAATCGATGTTAAATTTAATGAGATTAGATGTTGAAGAGTTACTATATTTCCAAATTTACAGAAGTTCGACTAAAAAAAAACTAAAAGCATCTAAATTATAAAACAGGGGGAGTACCTTAACCCCTACAATTCAGTGCAACAAAATTAAAAGGATTTGCTCTTACATGTCCTGAATCTTTTGAAGATCTTGACCAGTGAAGCATGCATGTTCTGCATCACTCTCATCTCATGCAACCTTGTACAATTGGGAAACAAATCCAAAGCTGCTAGCTAGCTGTGTACATATGGATTACTGCTGATTGGCACGAACTGAATTATTCGCACGTAATCAATCCAAAAAAACTATTAGTAGCCATGGGCAATGCAGGCCTCCCAGAAGAGCCTGTTGCTCTCGGCCGTGTGGCCTCCGGAGTCCTCCACCGCCTCCGCCGCCGGCGGCGCACGACGAGCGCCGCCGTCGGTGGCCTTCGCTTTCGCCGCCGTCACCGGCGCCTTCTCCGCCGCCCAGCACCACCACGGCACCGGTGTCATCATGACACCGGCCTTCTCATCCACCGCACTCTCCACGCCCTCCTCCTCCTCGCCGCCGCCGACGACGTATTGGCCATTGCCGTTCTTCCTCCCGTATCCTCCGCCGCTGCCGCCGCTGCAGGACTCCGCGTCGTCGTCGTCGTCATCCGCCACCGATGATCCCTCGCCGGTGGTGAGCGACGACGACGACGACACGGCGGCTGCAGCGTCGTCGTACTCGGAGTCGCCGGTGCGTTCTTCCGCCTCCGCCGCGGCCGGCGGCGGCGGCGGCGGAACGTGGCCGCGGCGTCGGCGGTGGTCGTCGTCGGCGTGGTCCATGGAGATGATGGCGAGGGGACGAGACGTGAGGCGATCCATTTTTTTTTCCTGAAACGAGACGAAACCGTGAGCTGTGTTGTGTTAATTATCTGAAAATATTCTTGGGCTTGGCGCGAAATATATAGAGGGGGATGGCCCACGGAGTCGGAGTCGGGTGACGTGGAGAGATGAGATGATGTGGACTCTGGTTCATTAGCCGACATCTTTGTCAACGACCTGACTCAACACGATAAAATGCTAAACATGGATGATTTCCTTTTAGGTAGGAGAAAATAATCCTACGTACTATCATCCATCTGCCGTAACTAATTAAAGTGCTAAACAACACATTTTTTTAGGGAAAAAGAATAGCATCCTTTCTAACCACGTAAGGTTTTACTCCCTAAAAATGCAAACATTTCTAGTTGTTTACCAAAGATTGACATTAACGAAAGAAACAACAATTACCTTGTTAATTAAATTCTAAATTGGTTATATTCTCTTCTTAAGCTTATGATTGGTTGAAAATGCTTGAGTTTCCATGCATTGAAAAATCATGTATCCTTCTAAAATGACATTGTAGTCTAATGTTAAAAATACTTATGTTTTAGGGGTAGAATGGAGCGAGTACAAATATTCCTAAGAATCCAGTTGCTACACGGAACAAGAAGATGTTCTGCTTTTCTACTCAGCCAAGATAGTAGTAAGCAAACTGAGAAAATATATATAGCGCTAGCTCAACAGCTGGTCACATAAACGTGAGAAACGAACAGGGATGAAGCTCAATGCTATTCATTCACAGTAAAGTTAACATGTATAATATCACTGCTAAGAGAGGATAAAAGATACCGGTTTTTTCAACCGGCAGAGATGACATTGATGATACTTATCATCGGTGACCACAAAACCGGCACCTATATGGTTCTAATAGGGGCCGTTTCTAAGCCAAAGAGCCACATGGCTGTTAAATAGGTGCCGATTTTGACCTCAAAACTGACATCTATATGGTCCTAATATTAGTGTTGGTTCTAAACTAAACAACCACGTGATTGTCAAAATAGGTATCGTTTTTATAAACCGGCACCTATAGTGGCGACACCTATTTGTATTTTTTATAGTGTATATTAGCTATAATGTTAGCCTATTTTTCTCTCCTCTTACTTTTTTTAACTATGAATTTAATGCAAATATCTTAGAGTAAGTGTATAGCCAGCTACTGCATGAAAACCACCGTTTCTCTTTTTCACATAAGATTTTTTATCCTAGATAAGGCTCCCATCGGATGGCCTAATCAGCCAAAGAAAAAGCCAAATTTTAAATTTTTAAACTTAATTTTAAGATTGATTTTGAGATATTTTTAATATAGTTTCTTTTTCAACATTGGCTTTTAAGTCACCAAGAATACATATATAAAAGTTTTACCTACAAATTCATTTTTATTCTCTAATAAACCGTTGGAAAAAGCCAAACGATAGGGCCTTTAAGTTTATGGTTGATTTATACTCTACTAGCTCCAATAAACTGATGATGATGACATGGATGACGAGATCGATGACGTGGCCTGCATAGCTAGGTCGATGACTCGACGTGCACCCACTGCACGCATACGCGACCAATCCAGAAAAAAATGCATGTATACGCAGCCTGTGTAGTACTCCGTAGTACATATGCTGTGACACGTGCACATGCATGCACATAGTCTGGTGAGTTTCCTTCTCCTTTTTCAAAAAAGAAAAATAAAAAGGTTAATTTCCCTCTGTTCATTTTGATCACGTCGAGACCGTCGCGTACTCACGTTGTGCATGCGGCGGCGGCGGCGGCTACCGCCGGATTTGTCGGTTTAGCTTTGGGAATCGGCGGGCGTGCGTGCTCCGATCGAGACAGGGGCGGCACGGCACGATGGAGTAGAAAGAGGACGCATGCGGTGGGGCCGGATGGGTTCTAGAAGCTTTCCATTATTATCTGCCTACCTACTTGGCGTTCTAGAAGACAACTTTTTCCCTTTTTTTGTCGCGGCGGCCGGCCGGTCTCTCGTCCTCTCTCTTGATCAGCTAGTGGCTGAAAGATGTTTTATGTATTTTATTACTCTTTGTTTCGGGCTATAAGATGTTTTAGCTTTAGTCAAAATTAAATTATTTTAAATTTGACCAGGTTTATAGACAAATATGGTAATATTTATATTATCAAATTAGTTTTATTCAATTAATAATTAAATATATTTTTTATAATAAAATTATATTGGGTCGAAAAATTTTTTTTCTATAAATTTGGTCAAACTTAAAGCAATTCATCTTATAACCTAAAACGGAGGGAGTACAATACTAAAATTAACTACATATAACCAGGGGCAAAGCTAATTTTTATAGATAGGGCATAGGATCCACAAAGACCTAACATAGTATTAGTGAGAGCTCATTGGTGTTTGATGTTTCGTTGGATAGTGATATGAACGGATCAGCACCGTGCCATCGCAATCAGTTACAAGAGTGAAAAACGAGAACACATGGATCACAATTCGGCTCAGCGGTTCTATGGAGTGGTGGCCTTTGGCCTCGCTCCGTCATCCCTTGTCACGTGAATGGTCATAGTCTTAGAAAGGGACTTGTTTTTCTAATTAAACTTCTTTAGGGTTTAACTACGTTCATAAAAAAAGAAACATCTGTAACACCAAATTAGTTTAATTAAATATAACACTAAATATATTGAATAAATTGTGATAATATAGTTTTTAGGTTTAAATTATTACTATATTTTTTTATAAATTTAATCAAACTTTAAAAATTGACTTATAATATACTACCTAGATCACATAATAATTGTATTTCTAACATTCAAATTTTAGAAAAAAAATTGTAATGAGGTGTGAGACCCAACAAATTTAATTAGTAGTAGAAGATATATTGTCTTCTAGCTTCCCATCTTTCCATCCCAATCTCAATCTCCTACCCTTTTAGTCAGTAATCAAGTTTATACGTATAAAATGCATGCACAAAGTGTGGTTATTATTATATATGGTTATTGTGATCATTTGTGTGTGCTGCTAATTAATTGCGTACACGCATGCATACACACACGCATTGTATTATAAAACATATGAAACACATAATTTACCTTATATTTGGAATTGAGGGAGTAATTATTTTTTGATGATAAGTGTAAAATGGAGCGAGTAGGAGGAAAAAAAAATGATTCAGGTGTCCTCGAGGGTTGAAAAGTGAACCGCGGAAGTTTGATCCAAAGATCGGACGGCCCATCTCAACCAAACCCAATCCAACCCAACCCGCTTCAGGGTTTATCGCTCACGCCGCGCCGCCTCCTCACCCCCGCCTCCCGCCGCCGCCGCTTCTCCCCGAACCTTCGCCGGCGAACGGCCGGGCATGTGGGCTGTGCGGAGTCTCCGCCGTAACCTCCTGCGAGCGGCCTCCTCGCCGCTCCACCCCAGGTGCCCTCTCCCCCCCGGGAGCTTCGCGGCGGGATGCGGCGGCGAGGCTGCGGCTGCGGCGTCGGCGCGGTCCGCGTTGCTGCCGCCGCCGGGGGCGGGGGGCGGGTGGTGGCGGCGGCGGATGATGTCGACGACGAAGGGGAGGAGCATGCGGAGCAAGGTGGAGAAGCGGATGGCGAGGGAGACCGGGCGCACGCAGCGGGAGCTGCGGCGCGCCGTCAAGCTCAGGAAGAAGCTCATGACCGACGATGAGAGGCTCATCTACAGCCTCAGGAGGGTAAAGGCTCCATCCATTTTTTTTTTGTTTTTTGTTTTTTTGAAAAAATTGGTGCTTGCTGTATCCTGTGGCGATATGCTTTCGATTACGATCTCGCATTGAATTGGATTTCACCTGTGCTTGCCTTGATGATGTTTATCATGTGATATCTTCCTCATGCTGAATGAATGCAATGCATAATTTTTGTGCACAGTTGTAGTTTAAGTTGGCTCCACGGCACACTTACGGAGAGAAACTAGAAATGTGTTGTCATTTCTAATGCCAGAGAAAGAAAATAAGAGTAAAAGCATTCCAATTGTTTATTAGTTCAGATCATTGTGCACCCACCAAAAAATATTGGATATGTTAGATTTTTCGGGTTTTACTTTGCTACCTAAGAATTTGATCCTTAGCAGTACCAAATCCAACTTCTATGCTTGTCAATTACTAGAAGTTTTTTTTAAAAAAAAAAAAATCAACGAGAGCGCTCATTCAAAACCTATCAGTCAACTCTTAGTCATAAACTCAAATGTTTGTTTTCACCACTATCTTTGTTCCTATTACAATATATATAATAGTTTGAACATAGTGAAATCATGGTCTTACTATACCCTGGTTACTTTCTTCCAGGCCAAGAAAAAAGTTGCTTTGCTTCTACAAAAGCTCAAGAAGTATGAGCTACCAGACTTGCCAGCTCCTCGACATGATCCCGAGCTGTTGACAGCCGAGCAACTACAGGCTTACAAGAAGATTGGATTCAGAAATAGAAACTACGTGCCTGTAGGAGTTCGTGGAGTTTTTGGAGGTGTTGTTCAAAACATGCATATGCACTGGAAATTCCATGAAACTGTGCAAGTTTGCTGTGACAACTTCCCAAAGGAAAAAATCAAGGAAATGGCAGCGATGCTGACAAGATTGAGTGGTGGCATAGTGATCAACATTCATAATACCAAGACGATTATCATGTTTCGAGGAAGAAACTATCGTCAACCAAAGAACCTCATACCTTTGAACACACTAACCAAAAGGAAGGTCAGTTTCTTGCAGTTAAGCTGTTTGTGGCACTTGCCAATTGGAGTTGTCTAGTTACTTCTATTCATGTGTGTTTATGCTTTGGATTATGCAAGCTATGTGTATGACATTCGCCACTTCCCATGGATTACCCTGATTTTTTTCATGTTTGATTCATCATTCATCTAAACTAAATCATGTTCTTTTAAACGTTTTGTGTGAATGACTAATTTTATTTACTTTTATACATTAACTTTCCTTGCATTACTTGCTTTGTGCATGGATAACAGAGCTTGCTATAATTGCCCTTATGCAGGCTTTATTCAAGGCTAGATTTGAGCAGGCTCTAGAGTCACAGAAACTAAACATCAAGAAGATAGAGACACAACTCCGTCGTAAGGGTATCAATCCGGAGGACCCAGTTGCCATGGCCAGCATACAGCGAGTTGCATCAACATTCTTCCGAGCCATAGATGAGCAGCAGGGTACTCCCTACGTCTTCCGTGGTGATACACAACCAACTGCTGGGACCACTGAAATAAAGGAACCACATGATCAGCAATCTGAGGATAGCGACCAGGAAGAGCTTGATCGCTTTATAGCAGAAATAGAGACCGCAGCTGAGCAGCAATGGGAGGAAGAAGAGGCAGCGGAGAAAGAAGAATCTTCTCGACTGCGATACTGGGACAGAGAAGAGGGGAGTGAGAGGAGGGGTTTCAATAGGAGCTACGACAACCCAGGCAATGAATATAGAGACCAGGGAAGATACACGAGAGACAACAACAGAAGGACAGCGGATTCAAGGAGGTGGGACGATGATAGCGAGATAGATGTGTCAGGTGAGGAATGGGACTCTGATGACGATAAGGATAATGTATTTGACAATGACGTAGATGCTCCTGATGAACACCCTCGACGATTTGAAAGCATGAGAAGCGAGAAGAGCAGATCCGATCGCAGTCGGAATTATACATCTAGGGGTTCCAGAAGTTCCATTGAGAAACCAAGGAATTCAGCTACTGCTTCTGGTAGAAGCGTGTTCAGGGAAAGTGAGGATGATGAGTTAGATACTGAAGATGATGAGTTGTGGGGACCAGATTTGAAGGAAGAGAGAAACTTGAGAGCCCCTAAGGTGAATTTCGCTAACTATCACAGTGGCACCAGCAGCGAGGAGGACACTGATGACAACTGGAAACAAGACTCCAGGACTGGCAATACGAGGAAGAATACTGATGAGAGCTGGGACAGTGACTAATGAAGAATAAGAAATCGAATATTTCGAAACTAAGATATTTCATGGCTGCCACAGGTTACATTCTCGCCTAACGGTGAACTGGATGGAAGACAATACACTTGGTTTTGGTGAGACCAACTGTTCTTTTAACAGTTCATATTGAAACCTTCAGAGTTCAGACATTGCTTTGGTCCCAACTGACATCGCTATAAATTGCCTGCATTGGATCTTAGACTGCAATGACACTGCTATCACATCCTCAAATCAGGGGCCTGCATGTTTTAGGCATGCGAATTCCTTGGGCTCTTAACAAAGAGACATGCACATATACATACTTTGATGGTCCTGTATGTCGTCGTCTATGTCGAGATATATGATGTATTCATTGAATTACTTCATTGAATGCTCTTGATAAGCTTAAGAAAGCACTGCCATTTATTGCGCCCTTCTAACTGCAGTGAGCCTGTCTTGTCCTAGCTAGATTCAGGGCTTGTTTGAAATGCAGAAATTTCATACTCCCAAGTTCCTCCATTCCAAAGGAGGTAGAATGTTTTTCCCCCTGTCCCCAGCCATACTTTTCTAGTAGTTCAGGCGTAGCACTAGAGCCACATTATAATTAACCATGATAAAACATATAATTCAGACTCTGATCACTATCAACTGAAAGCCAAAGCAATGCTCAACGACTATCAGCTCAATGACAAAGCAATGCTCAACGGGAAGCATTTGAAAGATGTATACTAACCAAATTAAGTAACATATACACGAATATAAGCCTGTCTAGCCAATATCTAGTGCCAAAAAATTATTCGTAAGTTTACCTAGCAGAGGTAGCAAGAGATACAACACCACGAGACCTTTCAGATTTCGACAGGAAACTAGAAACTACTGAACCAATGAAAAAAAATATTTCCACAAATTCTTGGTGGAAAAAGAATTCTTTTGGTGCAGCCTATTTGGTGCCTAAAAATTTGTCACCTCCATCAATGTCCTCCTCCCTCTTTTGCTGTTGAATCCTAAATGTAGTGGTCAACCGAAACAGATGTCACTGCATTTGATCATAAAAACTGTAGGATATCAATGAGTTAGCAAAATCTTGAATTATTGTCCTTTGTCATCATGCCAAAGCTCATTGCAGAAACCATTTCGTTGCCTCTTGCAGTTTATGGCTTCTCCAAAGGAATCAACAAGCTGCTCAGCCAGACCACTTGGCTCATTGATTAGTGTTTTGATGAATGTAGTTACAACTCTACGGTCATTCTCCGTTGATCTTAGACTAAACCAGGTCAAGAACTTCATCCTGAAATCATTATCTATGTGTCCCTTGCATTCCAGCATCCTGATCTTCTGCACACAGTACTCAAAGTCCTCATCCAACTCCCTCGGTCTTGCAAGCTGCTTCTCACGGCAAATAGTGGAAGCACCATCTTGTTCACAGCCCTCTGGCCGAGATTCAACAGCAGGTGGTTCAGCTTCAGCACTCCGGCCCACCGCGCAGGTCTCTGAGCCACCACTATCGTTGGATCTTACTGGTACAATCTTTGAATTGTAACACTTGTCCGGGGAAATGTCCATGGGGACAGGTGCCTCAACGTTTAGGTCAGGAACAGAAAATGTGCTGAACTGAAGTTTGCGGCACGCACCAGATAACAATTGACCCTGTTCACTGTTCTCTGTTTGCTCCACGTCTGTGACACTTCTGTCACATGAAGCTTCATGCATATCTTCACAAAACCCTTCAAAACGGCCTTCCTCAGTCCAAGCTTGCCGCAATATCTTCCCAACATCTCGGATCTTAAATCCAGTCGACTTAAAAGCCTGTGTCTTCTCTCTTCTATGTGTATGTGCATCTGCTCCCGCTACATTCTGTGTGGTACGTTTAAACAATAACTCCTTGCTCCCCGTATAACATTTAGATTCAGAATGGCCTAGTATCCCATCATCTGTGAATGATATAATTCTGAAGGAATACTGTGTGCATGGGGCAAGGTTAAAAACAAGTACTTTTCTTTGATCTTTGGACAAAACTACAGGCTCTTCCATGCTTGGCTCCTCTCTGCTCTTCCAGTACCATAGTTTATAACCCCTGATAGTGTCAGAGGATGGTAATGGAGTTTCTTTTAGAATAATAACAATGGAAGAAGATGTTATCTCTACAAATCTGAATCTACAGGCAGCAGGTAAGGAATCTGCATGATAAGAAGTCCATTAGCTTCTTTTGTACTATCATCACCACGATTATATTATAGATACCAGTATGTAACAATGAAGTCATGTAAGGAAGACCATTACCTTGAAGATGCAGGTCTGGGGAACTCAGCAACTCATCAGCTCTTTCAATAGCTAGAGAGCAAAGTTTCTGCAAATCACTACCAGCAGGCAACCTGCTTACAATACCACGTGCCATCTTTGCCGACATTCCATCCAGTGGACCAACTTCACTTTCCAATTTTGCTTTTGCATCTTCAATAATACCATGCAATTCTTTAAAGCGGGTAGTTCCCCCCAGTAGCCGATAACTCAAATAGATGCGGTGGCAGAGCATATCTACTCGGCGTGCATCTTTGGCAATCACCAATTGCCTTTTCCAATAACTGCCGGAGTAAATATTCATGCGAACCACACGAATTAAACATGTCAGTTAAAAAGTTTCCGAATAATCTAACAAGCAATACTACCAGTGAATTGAAGCTATAAATTCAACATAGGACAATGATTTCAGCTATGCTCAACATGAGACGATTTCAACAATGCAAAATTAGTATATGACATCTTGAAGTGCACCTATCTGGTATTATATTTGGTACCATGCAAAATTAGTATGTTGTAGTGTGGAAAGTAACACAGAAATACTAACATTGTTAACAAAGACAATGGAGTTAGCTTATCGTACACACTGTATATTGGTCATATCTTATGCTTTAAATTAGTTTACAAAAGAAGAAAAAGGTCCGGCTTATTCTCTAGCTTGTGCTTCTAGGGAAAAATGATGAGATGTTCTAGATTCCTAGTTGAGTTGAATAGTGCCTATGCACTATAAATAATGTCTAGTTGTTCTTTTATTGATTGCCACTGAGATGTTACCTATCAAAGAAAAGGAAGGGCATAAAGTTTATAAACGAGCTTTTAATTTAATGCGCATAAATATATTGCATAGACAAAATGCCAATTGCAGCACTGTTTTCCATTAGAGAATTGGGACTAGATCATGTTATATTTTGACACTTTAATGAAGATGATAATAAAATTGTGACTAGAAACATATAAAAAGAATAAGATTCGTATAGTTGCTACAAAGTGTGCTTACCCTAGTATTCCGGAAACCTTTCCACATGAAGCGCAAGAATAACTCCCATCAAGTTGAATAATATTCCCAAGATTAAAGCAGCCAACCCTCTTGTGTTGGAGCGCACACTCAATATGGCAAGAAGACCCACAGCAGTTCTTGTCATCATTTTCAGATGCACAAACCAACCATAGACTAGGATCCTTATTGTCATCAAACTGATGGCAAATACAACATGAGCACCTCTTGCAGAAGGAATCTTCAGATGTTACAACAGCTTTACAGGCCAAATTCTTACAGATCCAAGTGCTAATGCATTTCACGTCACGGACAGGACACTCGCCATTCACCACTTCCTTCTTACAAACATGGCCATTTGTTTCTTTTAAGTTAGTTGGAGATTGTTTCTGCAATTGAAGGTTCTTGCTTGCTTTAACAGGAGTAGCTTTGGTCATTTCTTCCCTTCGGTTAAGCAAGCCACCTTCCCTTTTTCTTTTTCCGTTCACGTACTGGCATCAGTAATAATCTTCTAGGGTAATAGTTTCTAAACCCTCTCTGAACATCTTGCAGAATCTTTCGAAACACTGACCCACTTTATTGCGAGGACGTCATCCACCAAAGATAATCAATGTCCAATAACTGAAATGCAATATCATATCTTTGATAAGCAAGAACTGTTATTCCGGGTTCTAAATTAAACAGTATATGGTATATAATCAATGTAAGAGGGGTCCACACCGCGGGCAATCGTATAAAAAGGAATTAAAAAAACATCAACATGGCAGGATCCTTAATAGTCTGGTATAACTACCCACATCATAAGACAATGTTTAGAATGAATAACGCTATGTGAATTGTCTTACATTTATTAATGTAGCATCTTATTAATGAAGGCATGCCTGAAACAAACAGATTTGTACAACGGAAACGATGAAGAAACGCCTCAATCATGTTAACGGTAATTTAATGACCCAACTGTAATAACTTCAAAAACTACCAAGATCTATTTACTAAAGTAACATATGCATGGTTTGTTCCGATCTCGTCATTAGTACAATCACAGCATGAACAAATTTTAAAATAGGATTTTTGTGCTAGGGTTTTTCTGTCGGTAAAAATGGCTGGCAGAGAGACAGCAAGCCAAATGGAACAAGTTACTAATATTGACCTATCGTTGATTAATCCAGAAATCATTTGGTTACTTCTGCCAATCCAACAAAGCTATTACACAAAAAATGAAAGATAGCTCCACGAGGAACAGCAGCACAACTTCAAGGCAACGAGTTTCCATCTAAATGAGCCTAGAATCATCGTCAACTTTTAGCCGTTGGCACAATCAAGCGGCGAATCAACCGAGCTCCCGCCCAATCTCGCATCATCGGCATACAAACAAACAAACAACCAAACGAATCGCGGCACAGAATCACGCAACACCAACGCCCGCTCATCCTAAAGCTAGAACCCGTAACTCGCGAGGTTTGAAATCCACGGGTCATGTGGAGAGGGGGGGCCAGAACGGGAGAGCATACCACCTTCCGCACCGCTCGATCCCCTTCCCGCCACCGCCCCTCACCACGGCGGCGGAAGCTAGGGTTTGCGGCCGCGGCAAAATAGCCTTCCAGCGGTGCGCGGGGGAACGGGGAACGGGAGATCCCCAATGTGCGAGGCGGCGACGCGGGAGGAGGAAGCCGCGCGCGGCTACCGCGAAGGGGAAGGGGAGGCGGCGACCCTCCGGCGAGCTCGCGTCGCCGTCGTCGTCGCGAGTCAAGGGGAGGGAGGAGGAGGCGGCGGCGGCGGCGGGTGGGAGGAGCGAAACAACGGTGGGAATTGAGAAGGCAAAAGAGAGAGAGAGAGAGAGAGAGAGAGAGAGAGAGAGGAGGCAAGTCAAGTCGAACAAGTCGGCGAGGGCGAGGCGACGTTGGAACGGAAACGGTAACGGTAACGGAACGGGAGCGGCGGGTCGCGTGTGAACTGGTTACCTGGACTGGACGCGGTTTCGTTGGTGGGAAGCGGGCTGGTGGGCCGGAGCGACCCGGCCCGTTGAACATTGGTGTTACCAGTTCATCGGACGGCCCATGGTCTTGCCACGCCGGAGCTGGAAGCCTGCAATTACTCCCTCCGTGCTAAAATAGTATACGTATATATTGTACTATTGGTATCAATTGGGACATGTTCACTATCATGTATTAGTACTATTAATTAATATATTATTACTATGAATCTAGACATGTTCCTTATTACTGTGAATCTAGACATGTTCACTATCTATCCATATCCTAGTATTACAAATTTAAACATATTTCTATCTATATCTTAGTACTATGAATCTAGACATTTCCCTATCCAAATACTAGTATTACGAATTTAGGCATGTTCGCTATCCATGTCTTAGTATTATCAATCTAGATATGCTACTTGTCTAGATTCGTCATATTACTAATACATGTCCAATATTAGGTTTTATATTTTTGGGACGGAAGAAGTATAAATTTGTAGCGATAGTGAAAAGAGGGCTGGCAACATAAGTGACGAAGAAAAGCCTCTAAAATTAGTCTGTCCTAAAATCTAAATTGAAAATTATCTCTGAATTATTATAATACAAAGCCTTGCCAATAATTATAATCAAAAGAATTGGTACAACGCGTCAGACTAGGCTATACTACATGTTATTAGCACGATGGTATCTTGGCAGTGGCAGTTAAAATTAAAGCAACATTTTTTTCATAATTATCGCTTCTCTTTTTTCTACGAAGCAAAGCGTTTTCAAGAAGCAGAAATGAACCAGGGAGTCATAATATTCCTTTGCATAAAATTCTTCCAGTGATTCTTTGAAGTTAAACTCACAACAATTATTTGTCAAACTGAGAAATGACCATTCAGATACACTCGCAGCTGAAGCCTGAAAGGTAGCAATGGAATGGACATCTAATGTCAAATTACTCAGCAGAATAAACTCTCTAAACCAGTGTGATAAGTAACATTCCGACAACAGTAAGTTTACAAAAGTTAAAAGAAACTTGAGAATCAGATTTTCCGCGATGCGGATGAAAATCCTTCAGGTTGGACTTGGGTACCCTGATCCTTGTCATCATGCTTGATGGTTTCATCTCTTGATGGTTTCATATTCGCTTTGTGCTATCCTAATTTCAGTTCGTTGATCTTCTCAAGTGCTAACATATTGATGATGTATCCAGCAGTTTTATTAACACAAAATCTAACTCGCATTGGATTAGTGACGACGACATTATGCCTGTGCGTTACTGTTTCTCCTTGGTCCAAAACGAATGCTCAGATTGTCCAAGACACGGCTAACATTCATGAGCCGTGGATCATCAGAAGGAATTTCACGTTCCTGATTTGAAAAGAAGGGAGATGAAATGTAATTAGAATAAAAAGAGAGAAACATGAATAAAACTCCATATACTAGTAGTTTATAACAGTGACTTTAGGTCAGCATACTATGATATGTAAATATCCAATGATTTCAAAAAAAAAAATCAGGACGGTACGCAGCTAATGAATTTACTCAATGCAATATAAGGAAACAATATCATGGGTGATTCTAGGGTGAATTAAACATACTAGCCACAATATTGCAAAATCTGAGCTTACCTTCAAACCCTTGTAGTATGCTTCAACAGCAGGAAGTGATGGAGTGATTCTGCGGTTTTGCATGAGATCCCAGACATAATTTGCTATTGTATATCCACCAGTCTGAAAGAATCCACAGAGTTTCAACCGTAAGTGATTTGGGAAGCTATTTGGATTCATTTCAAGAATATGACATAAGTAAAATAATTGTGTTTTCTTCAAATAGATGCATTAGCATTTGTAGGACTTGCAAGTACAGGAGGGTGGTAGCTGTGATACTTACCTTTTCACCTGAAGCTGCAAGTAGAAGATCAGTTCCCATCCTTGCGTTTAAGAAGAAATTTCTCGAAGTCATCTTCTCCTGAAAAATATTCTGAGATGTAAAAAATTGAATTTCTAAGTTGGAGAAACTAGAAAACCAAAACAGAAGGAAAAATTACTATGGTTTCTTGAGCAAGTTGCATTCCTCTTGGTGTATGCCCAATCATAGCTCCCTCAGCAAGTGTCTGCATGCCAATTATGCATAGAATACACACAAATATATATGAGAGCACAAAGTTCGAAACAAGAGATAGAGTGTCAACTGAAATGGACTACTTTTTTATGATTTCCATGTAGATCCTCAATGAGCTCCACCATGGTAAAAGTTATTTATTTATTTAGCAGTGCTGTAAAAGACAATGCTACTGTGACTAATAAGCAAGAAAGCAGATAGTATAAATCCTATATAGTAACTAAAATGTAAGAAATGGTATAGTGCCTTAATTTGTGTTTCAGTTCAAAAGCTTAGAAACGGCACAAAACCAGAGTAGGTTCAGCAGTGTATACTGTATAGTAAACCTGTTATTCACTAGAATTGTAAATTATGTAGAGGAATCCAAAGTTCCAAACCTATGTTGCTTGTCAACCAAAAAAGTAACAGTATCACTTTTGACAAGACAATGATCAAACTGATTTTTAAATTTCATGAAACCACTAGGAACTGATGTAGTGAACACAAGAGGTAAGCTAATCGTGTGAACTTAACAGTGATTGATCTCAAACTTGTTTTTTTTTTATGACATAAGAATAGTAGAATCGTGCAAACTACACTATCTTATCGACTCGGTCTTTTTTTTACTCTGTAGAGGGATTAGGTACTAAACATAATTTTTGTACTTTCAGAATACAGTTAGCACTTATGGTTAATGATTAATGATCTCAAACTTGTTTCATTTTTTTTGTACTTAACTTTTTTCCCTGCCAAAAAAAAAATCACTTCCTCAACAAAAGTTTCCCTTCTTACTAAGGGTTTTACTCACCACATACAACTCTGCAGGCGGGGATTTTGAGCTTGTGTACTCTTCAAAAATCTTAACGGCGGAATCAATATCTCCACATTGAAGATAACACCTTTTTCAGTTAAAAGAATAACAAAATAGCAGCTAGAATCAGAAACTAGTTGGTAGTACAATAAAACAGGACACATGAAGGGGTAGCAAAACAAGGACAGACATGCCCAAAAAATAGAAAATATACCATTCCCAAAAGGAATCCATTAAAAAAAGCAATGATCCTTTGATATGAACAGTTATAATATATGTGTACTCAAGAAGGTTTTCAGCAAATATAATACTCAAGACTGAAAATTTAGAGAGCAGAGAAACACCAGATATTTTTTAAAGATGAATGTTCTTTCATACTTTAACAATAATAATGAGGGCATAGTGGGACATACTTCTATACTGTACACCTCTGGAACAACTAACAATGCAATTAGATCACTACATCATATTGTTCAGGCACTAAAACTTATATCAGGAAATGGTAAACATCCATAGAATAGATTACCTCATAGCTTGCATCGCAATGAAGGCATCATAAGTAAATCCATCTTTAATAAGCATGTCAAGAAGTACTTCAAGTGTCTGCAGAATAGCAAAGTAAATTGAACTTCTTCATGGAACTAGGACATATAACTCAATGTTGAAGATTTTGGGCAACAGTAGGGTACGCGAAAGCATACATTTATGTCAACTGTCGAGGCTGCTGAACAGCAACCACGAACTCACTCCGTCCAACAATATAAGCATTTCTAGGTTGTTTAGCAAATAAGGTTGAGGAGAAAAGATTTTAGTGCCCCTCATTTGATGGGAGATGGTTGGGGGGGGGTGTAATATAGGAAGAAATTTGTATTAGAGATTGAGAACTGAGAGGTGATTCATGTGACAAGTAGTGTAGGAATGCTTATATTCTAGGACAAAATTCAAATGCTTGTATTGTTGGATGGAGGGAGTATTAGTTAATGCAAAAAAGGTAACACAAAGGCAAAATAAGCACACCTCTTTGCTCTTCAGGTCTGCACAAGCATGGATAGCAACATGATAAATTGTCATCTGTTTATAGACAAATGCTTGTCTATGTACATATTCAGCTGTTGGCAGGTTATAAAGCTCTTCCTCTGACACATTCATCATTATATTTTCGGAGCTATCTTTTGATACTCTTTCAACATTTTTCCAACCTTTTGACTGCTGAACAAACTCGACAATCTGATAGAAAAAAATTGTAGTTCAAATTAACTGTTTGAACATGTTAAATACATCCATCTAATAACTGCCCATGTATGCAAAACATACTTTTGTCATAGTCTCCTCAGTGGTTGGTGCCTTGTTCTTGAATGCGGTTATTAGTCCAGCATAACAAAACTTGTTTAATCCAAGCCCAGCAGCGGTCATATCACGAACTATAGCATACCTGTCAAAACAAAATATTTATGAGAAGTTTCTCACAAAAGGGTAAATGGTTAAAGTAGAAACTGCAGTACGTTAAGTAACATTTCTATTAATATGGATGTATTGGCATGGAAGTAACAGCAAGTTAATTGTACTGCAACCTCCAGATCGGTTACATTGGTACTAACAATTCCAATATTCTTAAATTCAAAACATAAGTTATATATGATTTTACATTTTGTAATATCTTTCTACATTTTTTCCTCACATGCTCAATCAGGCAGATCCATGCAGATTCAATAGAGTGATTAGCAGTTCGGATGAAGTGAACAGAAATAACAAAGGTAATGAGTTATTAATGTCAATTAGGCCTTGGCTTATTCATTGCTAGATGGTATTCAGTACTTCATGAAATCATGCTATGCATAGTGAACCACAATGTGTATAGACCAAACGATTTTATATTTCAGCCTCAGTTGTTGCCGTGATCTACTGTTTGAGCAAAAGAATGTTGAGGAACCCTTACACTTGATCTGTACGCCCTGTTGCTGCAAGTGCATTCAAAAGACAAGTGTATGTTTCACCTTTCAACTTAACGCCATGTGCCTTCATTTCTTCTAAAAGCTTTTACAGGTAGCAAGATGAAAGCATTAGTGAGCATAGGAACAAAGATAATACATTCCAAATAGGAGAACAGCACCACATGACCACAATAACAAAAACTCAATTATTGTCTAACCATGATCGCTGCATCTGAGTTTTTGCTTTTCCCACAAGTGGAGATCAAGAAGTTGTAAAGGTTAACCTACAAAATATAATGCCTTTAGCCCAACCAATCTCACAAAACCCTAAACAAGAGATGAAATTAATTCAAAGAAGACACGGTCTAACATCAGGCTGCAAACCCATTTCTTTCATCTGATCACGAAAGTAGAATGCATCTTGTAGCCGGCTGCCTTTCATGGCACCGACTATGAGATTGTGGAATGTGTCCCGCACAGGCTGAACCCCATCAAGCATCATGTCATCATAAGCATCACGCAATAGGTAGTGCCTAAAAACAATGCAAAAGTTCTGTTCAGACTTGATAAAGAATAGAGCCTAAGCAAACAGAGGTTACTACCATGGAACTGCTACCGACAAAACAAAGACTCACAATGGCACAATCATGCAGAACAAAACACATGGACGTATCAACATAGGGCATCAAATGGTTGGTAGTCCAAGCTACATAAATAAATTCTCAAGAATGGCTATCAACCAAAAGATATAGCTTAATGTGGCAAACATAAGGTGAAAAAGTGTTTGCCAAATACACCATTTGCATAAATGTACTGATAAATACTCCCTCCTTCCCAAATTGATCATCATATATGTTTATGCACCAAAACCAAGGATAATTTATAATTTAAAACACATCAATGAAGACATCATGCACACATTCTCCCACAATGCATGCATCGATTAAAACACCATGTCAATTACTCCTTAGCATGCACACATTCTCCCATGTTGCATTAAATGTATTCTGATGAAATCTGTGTTCATGTAGTTATATGATGATCAATTTGAGAAATTTTGAATTCCATTATATAATAATCAATTTGGGAAGGAGGGAGTATTGTATAAGAAAAAAGCATTGAGCATATATGATATATCTTATAAAATCAAGATGGAAGTTGACATTATAAAATGTGCATATTTTGGTCAAGAAAGCTACAAACTTGACAAACCAAACATGTGTACTAACTTCTGAACTTAGATGGTTTGCAAGTAATTCAGGTGAAACTAAGGCACTCTAGCTTCCTAGGCTCAGTGATAAGTACTTAGGGTCAAACTGTGGCACTAGAGCTGCCCATGCTCACTGGCGTATTGTATTGAGACAGACTGGAGGAAATACAGACGAGTGAATCAACCTACATTCAGCACAAAGACAGCCACCAGAAACAAGAATGCTTCCTGTACAGCACTAAAAATCCTTGTGTGCAAAATAGTACAATGGTCTACAATCGACACCATGTATAATTGTGTTCATCTGGCATTCTGGCCGGTAGCATGCCCGGTTGCAGAATGGCCACATTTAGGCTAGCGAGCGTTGTGCTCTTGTACAAACTAAATCATCGAGGAAGCAGGAAAAAATAATCACAACTAAGCCATCTCAACAAGCATGCCAGCGCTCGGCATTGCGTCGAACAGTTGGCATGCAAGAACCGAGAGACATGCCTGCGCTGCGCGGTGAGGGACCCGAAGACGGTATTGTACTCGGAGATGTTGTTGGCGTAGTTCCGGCGATTGTACTCCTCCGTCGACGTCGCCACCCCGCGCCGCCCCATCGCCGCCGCCGCCACCGCTGAAGCCGCCGCATGCCGCAACCGCCCTGCACAGCCAGATCCAAAAAGGTCAAGGAGATCTTGGACCACGCATAGGGGCTCGGCCCTAGGAGAAATGGAGGGCGGGTGTACCTTGGAGCAGGAGGGAGTTGCTGAGGAGGCTCATGGCGCCGGCGGCGCAGTGGAGAGAGCGGCGGAGGTGGTGGTGGCGCTGCCGCTTCGTGTGGAGGAGGAAGACGAAGCGAGAGAGAGAGAGGAAGAGGGTTTTAACTCGTGGATCCATTCGAGCGCTGCACCATCCGATCGTACTGGAATGGAATGGACGGCCAAGATCAAAATGGGCCGAGATAAATCGATCTCAATCGGAACATTCGACGAGACGGCCCAAGACCAACAGTGCAAGGGTTGTTTTATTTTTTTTTTCCCTGGCAAATGTTGCCAGCTCAATGTGAATTTTACTGTTTTCTTCCGGGATAATTTATTTTTACCTGGACAATGTGAGATGTGAAATTTACCAATACGAGTAATAATATTATTCCCTCTTTTTAACGATTTCGCAACGTCAAATTTACTCTAAAATACGAGTAATAATTTTGCTTTCCTCTTGTAACGATTTCTATTGGTGGTATGAAGACAAGGCAAACACGATATATATTAAGCATAATGAAATAGTTAAAAAGGATGATACTTCGAATCCAAATCGTCTAGCCCGCCACATTGTGAAGCTAGCCGGAAGACTCTAGGACGTTTCAACATGATATAATAAGCATCATGTATCGGGATAATTTAGCGTAGTTTCATTTGGTTAAATTTTTGATTTTTTTAAAAATAAACACTCGATCAGGTGTCAACTGTGGCATACTGCAAACCAAAGGTTATTTGCATAGTTCATGTGTGCAAATAACGATAAAGTTAGAAAATCCGCATATAAACATACTGTTCCACGGACATGATTTCCATGTACGCATATAGCTATGGCTGCATAGTTAAGGAATCAAAAAAGATAATACCTCTGTTTTTTTGTGCGAATCAGTATAAACATGCTAAGATACAAGTCATACTTATAGTTTCTTTAATATAAAATAAGACACAAGGAAATAAGTGACATTTTTTTTTGGAATAAGCTGAATGGTCTATGTTATGCTAAAAGTCAACGATATCTCTATTATTATAAAAATTGAAGATGTTTTTGCCGGTGTTTTGGTTCGTCATCCGTGTTTGAGTCGGTTTTTAAATCCATTTGCTTTTGGAAATACATATCCATATCTGTTTCGTTCGCTTTGGAAATGCATATCCATATTTGATTCGGTCTTTAAGTTTGTTCGCTTTTAGAAATACAGAAAGAATTTTATAAGAAATATCTTTAAACAAACTCGCACGCTAATTTGAGACGATCGGACTCCTAATTGCAATTTATAATTTTGTAAAAAAAATTTCTTCACTCGTTGCAATGCACGGGCATTTTTTCTAGTTCTCTATTAAAAAAGGAGGGAGTGTATGAGAAGACATTGGAATTAAGACTTTGAAATTAAGGTGGTGTTCTTTTCTGCTGAAGATGAAGATAAATATGAAGTGTTTTACGCAAAACGAGACGGTATTAACGTATGATTAATTAAGTTTTTTTCTTACAAACTTAAAAAATAGATTAATTTGATATTTTAGAGCAACTTTCATATAGAAAGTTTTCGCACTAAACACATAGTTTAGCAGTTTAAAAAAGCGTGCCACGAGTATCCAAAATTTTATCTAACTTTCGTTGGAGAAAAAAACATGGCCCAAAAAAACACAGGGAGTATAAAAGAACCGTTGAATTCCAAGAAAATGGAGAAGAGAACAGAAGTGGCGTGTAGTGAGATTACAATTAGCAGGGCCCAGGGGTAGAAGAGAGCAAGTGGTGTATGATGAGACTATCTATGTACAAGTTGATAAGCAAAAGTAAGCACGGATCAGTTTAAAACGAAGCTTGGTCCAGCTGGTGGATATTCAGGTGGGTGTCCTCTCTTCGCGAGTGGGAGAATGGGGAGAACCTGAAAATGAATAGTACCATATTTCAGTAAAATACAATGCTCTCAACTTATCAGCAATTTATAGAAGATAAAATCTCAACAGATGTTCAGGTAGCAACAACAATGAATGACACCAGATCGTATCACATCTCATGCAATGATGCAATTCAGGCAGAGACTCCCTACCTAAATCTTCATGGTCAAGTGATCTTGGTGATGATGATGTTCTACCCGTGAGAGAGATTTGAGAATCGTCTGGCCAAAAAAACTAACCTTTTAGACCAGAGTTACTGAAAATATATCATAGAATTGGCTAATAACCTACCATAAAATGCACAAGACATAAATAATATAATTGGCAACAACATATTATGTTACAAAAGACAAAGAAAAGCTAGCTGACCTGGATCTGCTTGGTCAATTGGACAACTTGTATAAATCTTTTCTCCGGTGATGGGTAAATCGCCTAAAAAATAATAATAAAAATCTTTGCTAATGAGAATGCTTTATGATTTCAACTAAAAAGGTGCGCTCAGAGATACAGTTTTTTTATGTTGAAAAAAATGAAAAATAGAACAGCACAACACGACATCAACCCCGAATGCTGTAGTCCAAGAAATATTTAACTCAAATGCTTCAAGATCATATATTATATGAAGCCATAGTGCCCCAAGTACACTAAAATCTTGTCTAGTACTCTAGTCTACCTATATTTCCAAAATATCCATCTGATCTCTACCATACTGGGTATAGTGCACCGTATGTATGTAAAACTTAGATTTAGAGTTGGGCAACAAACTCAAGATTTAGAAGCCCTTGGCATTATCATTAAAATAGGGCCAGAATTGAAGTGAAGGGCATGAAACACACCTCTTACAACAACTTCTCCCTTGTCAGATACATTTGTTGTCAAATTCAGTGTGCTCCGAACACCTTTGCGTGTGTGGAATACTCCAATCTATAAAGATGATAGAATATATTCCTTAGAGTCAATAATTTGCTAATTATTGTCTCATGTTAAGGCACAAATAACACAAATAAAGCAATTTGGTGTTAGAAACATAAAGTGAACTTACCTCAATATCTATTGTAGAATCAAGACTATTTCCTTCATCAAAATGATCCTCCAAGATCTGCAGCAGCATATTTTCTAACTAAAACCAACAATCAGAAATTATATTAGAACATCATGTAATGCTACTTTTATTTTGCTTGTAGGATACTTAACAAACCTTTTAGAAACATACTAACATATTACCTCAACAGTAGAAGAAATACATTTTCCATTGAAGCATTCAATAATATCACCAACTCTAACCCCAAGTCTCTCAGCGCAAGAACCTATTGACACCTATGATAAAATTGAACATAGTTACTCCATAATATGCAAAAGTAGGCATTTCAAGAAAAGAGAATGAAAGCCCAAAGCAACAATAACAAGAGCCCTAAAATAGCAGCAATAAACAATATTTACCTCTTCAACAATAAGACCATCATCAATGTTGCACTTGCAAGATATTATCTCAATATGGGCAGGCTCAAGAAATTTGATGCCCCAGAGCTTCAACTGAAGATGTGGTCGAGGGATGTAGCTGTACAAACAATCGTATTACAAATATTATGGGAAGGTTTTGGCACTACCGAATTTGGTAGGGTAGAACTTCTACTAGTTAGAACCATATATTAATAGTGCGGCCAAAAAACAATATTAAACAAAACATCTAGATGCTATTATTGAAGTTCCTGTCTCCAATCCAAACCAGCCTTAATATTCTAGTTGGACAGCCTTGATATTCTAGTTGGATGGCTCCCACTATCTTATGAAGATTAAACCAATATAATCAATAAGCTTCTTTTTTTTAATTGCAGAACACGCTCGATTAGTAATAAATTAATTTGGTAACATCATGACAAAATGAGAAAAGAAGACATACTGAAACTTCTTCCACAACTGCAAGCACTTAAGTAGGATGTTAGAAGGAATAAAAGACCCCCTTGTACTGAGGTTATACATGCCCACAACATCTCCTCTGAAGTCAATGACTGGCCCCCCGTTGTAGTACTACAATTAAATTGACAATGTTCAAATTAGTAACATGTAAAAAATGAATAAAAATGAATAAATATGAATTATACGAGATATAACCTAAATAGGAAATGCAATCTATTTGTACCTCAGAAGCTGCATCGACACCATGAATGTACATATAGTGATGGCGTTCATTCACATGTGCATTTAAATACTGCACCCTACCATGGCTTATCCTCAGATGTGAACTTCCATCTCTTCCCAGTATGAAGACTTCTTCAGCCCATTTTACTCCCTTATTAAAAGAGGGCAAGTGAGTGGGTTTATCCAGCACAATCTTATAGAAAGCAATCTTGTAATGCTCCTGACAATAGAGAAATTGACCCTCTACAGTGGTACCATCCACAAAGTGCACAACAACCTGAAACAATAGGCACAAAATGACATTATATTTGGTTAGCATGGAAACTAAACAGCACCAGATACACATGATCACATTATAGTAGAGAAAACCATCATCGAGATATATGAGATAGTAGAGCTGAGGATTGGGACCAATAGCGACTAGCGAGAAGGAAGATAAATAGGTTGTCTATAGAAAGGAAAACAAAGACCACCCATGGCAGGCACAAAAAATATAAATCTAATGGTTTCCGCATAACTCCATCCATTGTTTGTAGCTCTATTGAGCCAATCTTTCATAAGTAAAAGCAAGACGGTTTTTTAGGATAAGCAACCCATATATTCCATTGATATTCTTTCTCACTATTCGGTTGAGTTACATAGAAATTGTCCATAGGGCAAGTACTAGTTACTTTCACCCTTTTTTGTTGAGTTCCGTAGGAATGGTCCATAGGGAGAGAACTTGTTACTCTCTTCTGTTGAGTTACGTAGGAATGGTACATAAGGAGAGTAGTAGTTATTGGTTGGGAACCATTGATACGTAGGCACGCAGGTATGGATCATCTAGTTTATTCGCCCCCCCCCCTCCCTTCCCTCCACCCCAAAAAGACCTTAAACCATATGAATGGAGCATTGTATTGGCAAAATGTAATAGTCTAGAACTTGGAAACAGATTTGTATTTCCCATGCAAACTCACCTGAGCATCAGTAGCATATTGGCTTGCATATTTCCAATCGTCTGTGTGTGAAGACTTTTTGCAAATAAGAAGTGCTGATGTCATGATAATTCCCGTCTTGCTCTTGTCATCCCAATCGACAATGAAACCAGAACACTGTGATAGTGGATTACCATCTGAAAATGCATTTACATATTAGCAGTCAATAAGATTTGTAAACCTTAATCCTCATGAATAAGACAGGATGGTGTTTACCTACAGAAGATGAAAGACCCATGACAAACTTGGCAGCACGAAGAACAGTTTCAGTTGAAGATTCACGGATGTGAAGAAGCTTCGGATCGACTAGGCATGTGGGAGGTATGCATGGTTTTAGAGTGCACAAGTTCATTTGCCGATCTACATGGAAGGGGAGCAATTGAGTCAGTGATAGTGATTTTGAACACTCAGTTAGTATACATGAAAGGAGAGAAGCACTCATTATTTCAAAAAAAACTTACTGCAGGCAGAACTAAATTAAAGAAATAAGTTCTTAACACATGTTCAATCCTCCCCTTAAATTAAAGAAATAAGTTCTTAACACATGTTCAGTCCTCCCCTTCTTTGCATTTTTATCCACAAGAACAACTTGTTAATTTTCTTCAAAATTCCCAGGGCAGGACTAAATTAAAGAGAGAGAACAAACCTCTTTTTGCCTGGTATTTCGCTTCCCACAGATCAAGTGCCCTCAACTCATCACATTCGATTGGCTTATAAATCTCCTTGCCCTTAGCATTGCATCCAATCACCACTCGAGGTATGTATGGCTCACATAGCGGAGAACTGCAAGAACTGCAAGCAGAGGCCTCGTCCTCCAGTGGCATCCTCTCCTCCTCCAACTCCTCCTCCTCCAGATTTATCTTCTTACCCGGCCTCCCGTCCTCACCGCTCCCATCGGACAAATTCCTCTTCGAACCTCGGTTCTTCTTCCTCCGCTCTGTTGATGCCGCCGATTGGGAGCCAGGGGAGGCAGCCACGCCGCCGTCCCGGCGGCGCACAGGGGATGATCGGGACCCCGCCGGCCGCCCCCTTCCTGCCCTCGACCGCGTCTCCACCGGCGCCATGTGAGATCGCACGGCCTGCCAGAGTGGGCTCCGGCCGCCTCCGTCGACGTGATCGGCGGCGGGTGTACGACGGCCTCGTGCCCTCGTGGGTTTCCTTCCTCCTCCTCCTCCTCCTCTGCGTGGAGTCGTCGGGACGTGCTGGGCCGGATGGGCCTGCAGAGACTTGGGCTAACATTTTATTTTTTAATTTGATTTTTGAATAGATGTGAAATTTTAAACAGAAATTTGTATTAACGATATTTTTAATTTTTAATAGAAAGTTGAGTCTTGAAGAAAGAGGCCAATCCTAATAATATAAAGGGCGTGTTTAGTTCACATCAAAATTGGAAGTTTGGTTGAAATTGGAACGATGTGACGGAAAAGTTGGGAGTTTGTGTGAGTAAGAAAGCTTTGATGTGATGGAAAAGTTGGAAGTTTAAATAAAAAATTTGTAACTAAACACGGCGAAAGAACTGAGAAAACAAATATTTGAAATCCTTGAGAAGCCCAGTTTGTAGTTTAGCAGTGCAGGTATGAATATTTTAGATGATCTGCCAATCAAGCTTCAGGCTGTAGTGCAGCTAGGGAAGAAAGAATTCATCAATTGCAGCTAGCAGACACCGAGCGTAAGACCAAACAAAGGAATGAAAGGAACCATCTCAACATAAGTAAATAACAAACCAAGCCCATGCGGCCATGCCAATGAAAACTAAAATCAGGCTGAAGCAAAAATAAGATCATCTTCACCAAACAGATAGAAGTGCAGAAACAGAACCAATAATGCTTTACAACTAGGGGAATGCCTCTCCCACATAAATTCTCCAAAAGTCCCCCTGAATGTGGAGGTGAATGCTCAGTACAGTAAAAATATGTCCTAAAGGATAAAATGTATCTTCCTTTCATTTCTGGCCAGCTGTTATCACAAAATGTTTTCTGATGCTCTTTCTTACATGGTCAAGTTGCCCAAAATCAAGTGTGTGAGGCTAGAAAACTGATCCAGGGATTCCGACGACGACGAGCAACATAAGCGCTGAGGGAACACTGCAAAGAATACAAGACATCATAAAACAACTGATAATGTGTAAGCTTTAAACAAAACAAAAACGGAAAGAGAAATGTTGCAATTCAACAATTTGAAAAACTCCAGAAAAAAACTGTACATTTACCTCTTAACAGCCATATTTGCTAAGTAACAAGAACACCCCAATCAGTTAAAGCATTGCAAATGTCAGGTAACGATATGAACCAGGAACATCCATCTGCCCCTCCATGGAGCAACCCAACAAAATCTGCTGCAGAATCAAGCAAAGGAGAACCTGAGCCCCCTTTTATCACTTGGTATGTATGTTAACTTCAGCCAGAGTCATGTCGTACCCAATCAGATTTGTTCTACTTATATCATCATACTCTCGAGAACAATTGGAAACTTCTCCCACAGCAACTGTCCTATGTCTGTAAGGGGGCCAGGAAACCATTAACACCTTCTCCATTGATTGCAGAGTCATCTTACTTGGAGCCAAGGCAGGATGTGAATGCTTGCAAGCCCTTCCTTTTGGCCCAGCTACACATACGACAGTTTGAAGCATTAGATCTTTTTCACAATCTATCTCAGTAATTCTTGCCTCTGAATAGCGCCTCTGTTTGTTCACTGCCTTATCTTGGCGAAAGCTATCCTCACAGTGATCACAAATAACAACAATCTGATACAATTTATCTAGCTCTTGTGCTGATTTCGGTTTTCCTTTGGTGAACAGATGGTCTAGACAGTGAGCCGAACTCAGTATCTTCACTTCTTTGGGCTTCTCTGACACCACAAAACCAGTACAGCATCTACCTTTTGTACTTCGTTCCTCTATAAGCTCCTCCGGTACAGTTTTCAAATTAGCAACAATCTCTATCTCTACTACTTAAAAAGTCTGTAGTGGTGGTCTTGATTCCTAACATAGCAGACGCATGTGATAGACGCGTGTAATCTCAACCATCCAATTGGCATATCCAATGGCATCAATCTCCTCCCATCACGCGATCGCTCTCTCTCGGATCGATCTCCTCCCCACGGCCCACGCCCACTCCTCCTTCCCCACGCCGCGTTCTTTGGCCTTCCCCTTCTCCCTGTGTCGCTTGCTCTTTCTGACTCAGCGCTCGCCCCCTCCTTCCCCCATCTTGCGGCGAGCAGTCGCCCCGACTCCTCCACCAAACCCAAATCGCCACCGCCAGGGACACTGACGCCTGCCTCCCCCACCGAACTGCACCTCCGGGACACTGACGCCCGCCTCGCCGATCCCCTCACATCCTCTGCCGCTCCCCTCGCCCCCTTCCGCGTCGTCTGCACCGCCCACGATCTCCGCCTCGACGACCGGTTCCACAACGCCATTCCTCACGATCCCCTCCCGTCCTCCTCGATTGGCGTCGCCCCCGATCTCTCCTCGACCGCCTCCACGCAACCACCACCACCAATCTCCGCCGAGCACTGTTCTCCACCGGATCCCTCTCCACCGAGCCGCCGTCGGGTCGTCGGCAATCCCTCGACCTCCTCCGGGCTGCCACCGAGTCGGGATCCGGGAACGCGGCCGGATCAGCGTCAACCGCCTGGCCGCTCCTCCACTCCGCCACCACCGAGGGACATCTCCATCTACAAAAGGTAAAGAAAAATTCGCTACTGATTGAATGAACTCATTAGATAGTATACATTTAGTGTTTGCCATTTGCGGAAAGAATGGTTTTCAACAATTGTTGTATCAAGCATACATGTACTAAAAATGCATATGGTTTTAGTAAGCAGGAAATATACATTTATATGGTATTTGGAATGAGTATAGTAAGCAGCTTCTCAAGGAGAAAGCAAAGATTCAGGATGACGTTGTTTTGTATGATTCTTGGATAACATTATGTGTAATTATTTGCAGGATGTTGATGAAGGAAGAGAATTGCAACAGTTTTATGAAAAAAAAAAGTTGGATCAGATTATTGTGATGACCTTCACTGTGTTGTCTTCTGTCCTTCAGTTCTTCAGTTACCTTGCCTGCTAATGAGTTCTTTAAATTATTTTTAAGAGGCAAGGCACTATAGAATATTTGATGCTTGATGCTAATGAGTTTGGGCACTTTTCAGAACTGAAGGGCACTATAGAATATGCTCTATAAAGAATTTTGCAGGTTCTGTTATATGCATCACATATCGATTTGCACAACTTTTTTGGTTGTAGCTGCCAGAATGAAAAATTCCTGAACGCATGGCCGAAAATGAGTACATCTTTTGCAAGTATTGATTTGTGCACATCAGCTAGCTGCCAGAGCATGAAAAATTCCTCATTATGATACTGTTTGTTCACCTATTTAGCTTTAGCTATTGATGCGAGCCAGAAAAATTATACACCTGAAGACATTACCCTCTTGTAAATTTTATGTTATATATACCAACCTGTAGTAAACAACCATTAAATTTATAAGATTTATACTGAAAAAAGGAATACATTTTAAAAAATGTCTGACCATAAAAAAACTTATAAATACAAAATTTTGATAAAAAATGAAGTGTCTTAACATGAATATTAAAATATAATTTTCCAGAGTTACATGCCCTAAGGCATGACGGAAATTGTGTTGGATCGTGGCAATTTTCAGGAGAAAAATGGAACACATTTAAAATAATGCCTGGCCATAAAAAAACTTTTAAATAAAATACAAACTTTTGATGAAACATGGAGTGTCTTAACATGAAAATTAAAAATAGAATTTTCAAGAGTTACATGTACTAAGGCGTGATGGAATATGATGGGATGCCACTACTTAGAAGCTACGAAATCACTTTATAGCATGGCAAATTTATAGTCAAAATCTTCTCAGTTTTGTTATACTTTTAATTTAAAGCATGGCATTGATCACTAGCATTTGTTTGCAGCCGTCCTCTCTTCCCAGCTGACCCAGATGATCGCCAGCTCTATCCTGTCGGCTTCGTCTTACTGGATGTCATCGACCCTACCACCTACTGCCTCTAAGCCTGTCAGTTCCATCAAGGTTTTCTTTTTCTCCTCTTCCTATTCTCTATTTGTGTGATGGAATAGGACGAAGAGGTTCAGTAAAGGGGTCATTTTCTATGCCCGCGCTGTCGAGAGCTGTGACGCTTGAAGTGGCGGGGTGATGCTTGTTGCTTCTTGAACTCTCGCTATGTGTGCAAAAAGAGGAACAGTCTGTGCTCTTCCTGCATCATAGGTATAGCATACAATCTGAATTTTGATGTTTTGCATAAGAACTTTTTTCATTATTGCCTGAAGATGACCATTTGCTCATCACCCACATCCAGTCACCGGTGCCTCCCTGTTATGTCTCTAAATAGGCACATTGTTTGACGATGCATGATAGACCACAAATGGATAAGTCCTGATATGTCTCTAAAGATGCACATTGTTTGACGATGCATGATAGACCACAAATGGATAAGTTTAGGGAGGTAAAAAGGACCAATAAAGGAATAGTCCAGTTGTAAATCTTAATGCAACGCTCAATCTGTTGATAACTACTGTGAGATTACTGATGTTGTTACTTAAATGTAAAATATGTAGCTTACATAGTTTTTTTTGGCATATAGAATATATTAGCCCATGTCATATCTCTTCATAGCTTTTTTTAAGTTTTAGTTTCAACTAAGACAATAACTTTTGATCTTCTGTAAGGTTGGATAGCATAATAGGTTTATTTAGTCTTTATGCAGACATTCTCTTATTTGGATAGCTTGCTGTAGGAGACGGCGCAAGGTGATTGTGGAGGCATGGTGGACAATGGAAGCATTGAGACGTGCTAGAAGGCGTGATATGCAAAATTGTTGTGTATCATGCATGGATGTTTCAGGAACATTGGGTTAATTGTGTTGAGTATATAGTATTGAGATACTGATTAACTAAAATTGTCTAGGGGTGTTTATGGTTATGATCATAGTCATATTTACTGATTGATGGTAATGTTTTATTCTCTGAATTTTTCTATGGAGTACATCAAAATAGATGGTTTTGGATTGCACAATCTGAATTTATTTCTCAATGAACCAATGCTTTGAATTGTTATAATGTTGTTCAAAATAGATGTTTTCTACAGCATGCATAATCTGAATTTAATAAATTCCTTCAATAGAAAATCTCTGCTATATTGTCACTTATGTCCTATTTAAATTAGGTTCTGCACAAATCTTCTGATAGGGTTATGGTTTTCACAAATAAACCCTGATGTTATTTAATGCATGTAGCACTTTATAAAAAAATAATTACTATATCTGACGCTCCCTTTTTTTAGTTTTAACATATCTCATTACATGCTTGATTTTGATTTTTGTTTCGGTTGATTGATTTGTATTTTTAATACTACCGCACGGGCAAATTATTAGTTCATTAAAAACAGTGAGGGTAAAAATGAAAACTATAGAAAGTAAGGGTAAGGGTAAAATCAGTATTGGACATTTAAGGTAGGGGTAGAAACGAAATTATCCCTTTTTAATTTGTTGAGATAAAAGTACATCAGTCCTTAATAGTATTGCGTGGTGTTGAAACTAATAAACCAATGTGAAAAATATATATATATACATAAGTTTCAGAAAAGAAAGTGAAATGCAAAATTATGATTTGAAATGCAAAATTATGATTAATGACCTCATTATGTAAAAAGGGAGAGTACGTATAATACCCAGCCAATTAGTTGTGCTCTGTTCCGGTTTATACTCATTAGCCTAACTAGCTTAAAACATATCGATTTTTCTTTCGCCACATAAGTTTTCATCCATCGCCTACAACAATAAAGGGACCGTGTTGTTTGCCTGTCCTCTCTCCCATGCGACACTCATCAGGCTCAGACATCAGGTGTATTGTGTCGCTCCCGTGCCCGCATCCTGTTTATGTTAAGATGGGTTTAAGCCTGCTAATGGGCAGAAATCCAATCCAAATCCAACCCACCCCATCTCCATTATACACAGTTCACCAAACCAGTTCAGTCCACTTCATCACTTCTAAAATCCAAACCAATCCAACCCGCGCAAGATTTAGGACCAAACCAACCCAATCCATTATTGTCAAATGGTCTCAACCCATTTCCAATCCATGGACTCAACCCAAATCGTGTGCGGTGCAAGACTGCAGGCTTCGCCACTTCGTATCAAGCCGTGGAGGTGGCGGAGACCATGGCTGCAGTGCCCCGTGCTAACTCGCTCGGCGCGCCTAGCCCCACGTCGCGCTATCCCCCTCCACCGCCACGATCTCGTCGTCGCCGTTGTGCCGTGAAACTGGAGGAGCAAGATGGCAAGGCGAGAGTGAGAAGACCACCGCTGCCGCCGCCACGGCTACCACCCCGCGGCTGCGGCGGCGGCGATGCAGTAGCAGCAGATGGTGTACCAGCAGCTGCGGCGGCGGCGCGTGGACGGGTCGGCCAGTAGGCGTGCAGCGAAGGGCACAGCCGCCAGAGCACGCGGCGGTGACAGTGACGACGACGTACGGGGCGAGCAGGCCGCCACCCGGCCACCGTTGCCGAGGCGGCACGCCTCATGATGATGGGCGGCGGCGGCGGCGGCGGCGGCGGCGTCAACCTGCTATTCGGCGCCGTCTCGCCGTCGGCTACGATTTCATCCTCGTCGGGCTGCAGATACTCAAGTGCTTGATGCAGCATGGAGGTATGGATGGTTGCATGAGGACGAACAGGAGAGAGGAAGGTGGAGACTGCCCGTGTGTTCTGAAACTGATTTGGATCGAAGCTATTGCCTAGAATCCATTTGAACCCATGGACGCAACCCATTTTTGCCCCAATATTTTACATCCAAAACCAAACCACTCCAAACCAATTGGTATGTGCACCCAACCCGCACCAATCCATTTACCGCACGAGCCCATTTCCCTCCAATCCAAAGCTAACCAAATTAAAATCCAACCCAATTAATCCATTTCCATCCAATCAATTAGCAGGCTTAGATGGGTTCGCTCAACATGTGGAGTGGACTAATTGTCCAAGTATGAACATGCCTTCATGATCACTATACACATTATGATCGCTGTACACATCGTCAATGTTTACGGTCGTGCTCGAGTTCTTGAATAATCGTCGAGGTTAATCTTCATTCCCTAAATTACCCGCGGTGCAACGCACGGGCACTCTGCTATACCTCTGATTTCAGTAAGATGATCCATTTTGGGTATGCAGTTGATAAAGAAAATTGACTCCTTGCTTTTGTGGTAAATCCATTTCTCTAAAGGATTTGAAAACGAGGTTGGAGCAGCCATCTATTGACAAACAACATATTTTTAGGCATATATTAGTGAACTATTATTTCCAAAATTAACAATAGAAATAAATGGCCAATCCCTAACCAGACAAGTAAAATATGCACAACAAATCGATCATGCATTTTCTAGCGAACGTGTACCTAGTGTTCAGGGAGGTGCACGCAGGCACCCCTGGTGACCCGGCGCGGGGAGGTGGTGGCGAGGAGAGCGCTGGTTGAGCACTCGTCTGGGGCCACCGCCGCGGGGCCGCACGGCGGGAGGGAGGCGAACCCCGGCCGCCCTGGACCTCCGGGAGCGCTGGTCGGGGACCGGCGAGCTGGCGGCGACGAGGACCTGACCCGCCGCGGGGATGTACGGCGGGAGGGAGGAGACGGCCGTGCGGGCGTAGTCGACGAACGCGGCGCGAGCTAAGCTTGTATGCGTGTCGCTCGAGGGCGAGGGATGAGGCACTGCGTGGCGGCGGCGAGGAGCAGGCCGCGGCCGCCGGGGACCTCGCCGCGCGCGGCCGCCGGGGAGAGGGTTTTGGGTTTTGCGTGCGTTGTCTCCTCCACCCACTCTCTCCCCGGGTTTTGCGGAGGTGTGCGCGAGCGCGACAGCGCGAGTAGCCTCACGCGCATGGGCCTGTACTAACGGATTTGGGTCGAAATCTAAACGATCCGTACACACCCAAATCCACTAACCGATTAGATATTAATCATGGGGTTTACCTTTTTATTATTGTTCTAAATCACCTGCTTAAAGCAACAATATGTGAAGAACTGATGAGACGATTTTTTTTAGTCATGAGAAAATACTAAGCCATCCTATAATATAAGAACCTGCTCTCTCCGTTCCAAAAAAGCCACCCCTTCATAGTAAAACGAATCTAGACAAAAGAGCTGTCCATTTATACTAGTATAATGTATCTTGACACCCCTAAAAGTAAAACGAGTCTGGACAAAGGGCTATCCATTTACTAGTATAATGTCTGTCTTTTTTGGGTATTAGAGTATATTTTGGTGGTACATTTTCAAATTCGTTCTTCGATGTCATTGAGCCATTTTTCCCTATTTCATGATTGGTAGCAAGTAGGGTATCTGTAGGATCTTGTAATTTTTTTAGACAATAAACCGCAGAATATGTTGGCTGTACAATTTGGGTAAACGTAGTAACCACTAACAAATCCTCAGATCCTATGACCTTTGACAGGTTCAACATCATCAGACAAATCTCATACTTAATTTTAGGTACAGTTTTCATGGATTTTTATTTGTTTTATGGTTATCACCTCATAGTCTACCTTTTACTTACGTTAGCTATATGCACAAATTCAAAATGCCTACGCCCTGCAGAATGCTTGAGTTAAAATGGGACATTTTGCATGAGGTTAAAGGTGACAATGGCAAAAAAAAAAATTCATTTGCATTTTATAGAACTTGTGTTCATATATGGCAATTCATAGAACTGATTAACTTGTTAATGGCCAAACGTAGAGTTTCTAAAAAAGAAACATTCTAGGTTTCAACTCTAAAAAGAGAAATATTTGCATAGCTCCATGTGGACATAATGAAAAGCTAGAACATGCTCATGGACATCATCTCCATGTTCACAGATAGTTATATCTATATGGTTAAGGAATCCCAAAAAGGATAAAAGAAAAGACGCACTCCAAGAAAATGGAAGACAGAACAAAGATGGCCAGCAGCGTACAATGAGTCTATCCATTTACACGTTGACTAATACCATAAGTGGGAGATGGAAAGATGACCAGCAGCGTACAATGAGTCTATCCATGTACACGTTGATTAATACCATAAGTGGGAGATGGCCAGTAGTGTTTGATGAGACTATCTATGTACACGTTATTAAAATCTTGGATCAGATTATGGTGGATCAGGTGGGTGTCCTTCCTTCAGTAGAAGTAGGGGCATGGAGAGAACCTGGGAAATGAATACTGCATTTCAGCAAACTGAATATTCAACTTATCATCAATTCCATAGAAGATAAAGTATTAACATTCACATAGCAACAGCAATGAATAGCAGCAGAACTTATCACTTCTCAGGCAATTCAGTCAAAGATACCCTACCTGAATCTGATGATGATGACGATGACGATGACGATGACGATGTTCGATCTGTGAGAGAGATTTGAGAATTGTCTGGACAATAAACATCATTTTGGATCAGAATTATTTATAACCCATATAACTGATGAAAAGTAAACACCAACTGGACTCCAATTTATATTCCTAAGAATGTACCATTTGCATATCACCCAATATCCTATTGCTTTTGTGTGGAATACTAAATCAAGGTCAGTCCTACAAAAATATTTTGTCTAACATCAAGGTTAGTCCTACAATAACGCTTTGTCTTATATTTCTCCTATATGTACTCTTAATTCGAGTCCTGAAGTCGAGAAACAATATTTCCTTTAAGCTAAAAAAATAGTATTACAAAAACTAACTACATCTGAAAAAAAAAATTGACAGCATGAAAGCTCATTTCGTCAATATCTTTAAAGCAATTTAAATCAATTCAACTATTCAAGAAACCATTTGCATAGTTTCTTGATAACCATAAACTGTAGAAGACACAAGTACAAGAATTGGCTAACCGGTGATGGTACAAAAGGCACATGCAAATTGCAGGACATCAGCCACTACATGTAATTCACATCACAATATTACAAACAAAGCAAAACTTGCTACCTGGATCTGAATCTGCTTGGTCAAGTGGACATCTTGCATAAATTGTCTCTCTAGTGACAGGAAATTCACCTAGGATATAAAAAACTGTTAAGAAAAATCTTTTGTGTTTACGTAAGGGAGAAAACATGCACATGTAACTCTTTGCTGTTTATTGCATATCATCTTAAGATTCAACATGTATGTCCAATGTACAACTATTTATAAATAAGTGCTCAGAATCATAAGGTAGGACAGTTCACTTGCTCTATTTCCCTCCGGAAAGTAGATATTAAGTTTAAATAACACAGGCGTTGCTCAAATAATTGAAATCATTTAAAGAATATCGCAAACAATAATTGGATTTATCTGGTCAAACAAATAAAATTTGATAAGTTCATGCTAGAATTTCAACTAAAACATTGGCGACGTGCTCAGAGATATGGCCTCACTTATGTTTTAAAACAGAACACAACAAGGCATCAACCCCAAATTCTCTAGGGCATCTAATCCAAGAAATATTTGAATCATATGCTTCCCGATCATATTACATGAAGTTGTAGCTCCCTTTTTTTTGCACATGATTATTCACTAAAATGATGCCTAATCTACTAAAATTCCATACTGATGGATTCCTACCATACAAATCTTAGAATCTTCTAGAAACCTTCGTGGAAGTAATGCATTGGTGCAGTGCACAGTATGCATGTAAAGCTTACAAATTTGAATTGGGCTACAATTAAATCTAAAACCACTGAAAAAAAGTACCCCTCAGGTTTAGAAACACTCAGCATAGTTATCAAATAAGGACAGACTCAAAAGACATCATGTACCTCTTATAACAACTTCTCCTTTGTCGGATACATGTACTGTCAACTTCCGACTTCTCCAAACACCACTGCGTGTGTGGAATACTCCAATCTATAAAGTTCAATAAAATATATTCCTCGTAGTCAATATTTTGCTAATTGCAGTGTCATATTAAGGCATAAATGACACAACTAAAGCATTTTTGTGTTAGAAACATAAAGTGAACTTACCACAATATCTATTTTGGAATCAAGGCCATTTCCATTGTAAAAATGATCCTCTGATATTTGCAGCAACAGTAGTTCCAACTGAAACAAAACCAACAATAAGAAATTACATGAATGTCAAGAATGTAAAACAAAATAATATCGCATAATATTACTTCTTTTGTTTTTCTTATAGGAGACTTACAAATATTTACTATATTACCTCAACAGTAGAAGAGATATGTTTTCCGTTGAAGAATTTAATGACATCACCAACTCTAACCCCAAGTTTCTCAGCAATAGAACCTTCTGACACCTATGATAAATTGAACATATTTACTTCACAATATAATAAGAAAAGCCATTTCAAGAAAAGCAAATGAAAGCCCCAACAAAAGTGGCAGTAAACAATAGTCCTAAAGTAAGTAGTAGTAAACAATATATACCTCTTTAACGATAAGGCCCTCATCAATGTTGCACTTGCAAGATATCACCTCAAGATGAGCAGGGTTAAGAAATTTCATGCCCCAAAACTTCATTTGAAGATGTGGTCGAGGAATGCATCTGTACAAATAATCATGTCTCATTAAAGATGTCAAAAAGAACATAAAATTCAAACGAGAGATTAAGGTTGACAATTTTAAATGCCTAGATTTTGACAAGCTGTCAAAACTAGATCATAGCATATTGTTTGAATAGGCTTGAATAATTCGAGAACAAGATGGTGTGATATTATTTTGTACTTCTGTACACTTATTACAGTTGTCAGAAGGGTTCGACTCATGCAGCAGCAACAGCAATACACATTACTGCTACGACAATAGCCTACACTGCAAGCTATACCACTGCTACATCAAGCTAAAGCGCAAGAAAGGAACACCAATATGGGATTGCTTCAAGGAATGATGTCACTTATGTTCTGACTGCCCAATTCATGCTAATCCCCTTGGTGTTAATTTCTAATGAGTTGTCTTGTCAAATGTCCAGCTTTCCTTGCAATTATCTTGGGCTTCCTCTTACAATTCGGAAACCAACCAAGGCTGACCTGCTGCCTCTAGTGGACAAAGTAGCAGACAATCTCCCGGGTTGGAAAGCATCTTTGATGAATAAAGCTGGCCGGCTCACAGCTGTTAGGGCGGTTCTTTCAGCCATCCCTATTTACGCAATGATGGCACTGGATCTTCCTAAATGGGTGCTTAAAGCCATTGACAAGAGGCGCCGTGGTTTTTTATGGAAAGGGAGTGACAATGCAAATGGAGGAAACTGCTTGGTCTCTTGGGATCGAGTGTGTCGACCCTTGTCTTTAGGGGGACTTGGTATTCTTAATCTCGAAAAGATGGGGTGGGCTTTGCGCATGAGATGGCTTTGGCTGCAAAAAACAGACTCGTCTAGGCCTTGGGCTGGTTTATCCATCAATGTGCCAAAAAATGTCCACTCTCTTTTAGCTGTGGCTGTCAAAACTATCCTAGGAAATGGAGAACATACCAAGTTTTGGAGTGACAGATGGTTGCAAGGAAAGACGATTGCTGAGCTAGCCCCCAATCTTTTCGCCTTAATCCCTAAAAGAGCAAGAAAGCAACGTTCTGTGGCACAAGCTTTGACAAATAGAAGTTGGGTTGCTGACATCCAAGGGGGGCTTTCGGTCCAGGTTCTTGCTGAGTACCTGGCCATTTGGGAACTAGTAGAAGAGGTGGTACTGCTACAAGATGTCCAGGATCAACATGTTTGGAAGTTTACTGCAGAAGGCATTTACACTTGCAAATCAACTAATGAAGCCTATTTCTTGGGTTCGATTCGTTTTGCTCCCTGGAAACGTATTTGGAAGTGTTGGGCTCCCCTCCAGTGCAAATTCTTCATTTGGCTGGCCATCAATAATAGGTGTTGGACAGCCGATCGTCTAGCTAAACGTGGGCTGCAGCACACAGTGATCTGTCCCCTTTGTGATCAAAGTGAAGAATCCATCCAACACATTTTGATCTCTTGTGTTTTTTCCCGCCAAGTTTGGACGGCAATCTTTTTGAGACTAGGGTTAGCCGAGGCTGCGCCTCAGCCCTCTACCGACCGCTTTCTGAGGTGGTGGAGCCAAGCAACGAAGAACCAGCCGAAGGAGGTGCGGAAAGGGATTAATTCCTTGGTAACATTAGTAGCTTGGGAGATTTGGAAGCACCGCAACGACTGCGTTTTCAATAACGCCAATCCTAGAGTAGCGACGGTCTTGCAAGTGATAGAAAATGAGGGCCATCTTTGGGGTGTTGCTGGAGCTTCTCGCCTTCAAAGGCTCCTTAGTGGGACGGTTAACCTAGGCAACTAAGCTCCCCGGGTTGTCTAGTGTGTGTGGGTCTTGGTAGGAGGGCTCGGGCACTCCTACTTTGTTTTTTCTTTGTGTTGTGTTTTTTGTATTGCTTTTTCTTCCCCTTAATGAAATGAAATGCAGCTCTCCTGCGTTTTCGAGAAAAAAATATAGCAGCACTCAAAGAGTCACAGGGACTGTCAGAGAATATGCAGAGAAGGGATGATACAGCAGCACTTCACAGTTAGGAGCAATGTTTTAAAAAAGCGTTACGTGGTTTCGCGCTGTCACCCTCACCCCACCTTGTAGCGCATACATGGCATAGTCAGCTGTACAAGGTTGGGCACATGTTCCTTGTATGTGGTCTTGTAGAATTTTGTTAAAAACACTGGTTAGGAGAAAAGAATAGAATAGGAGTTAAGTTTGTTAGAGCCCAAGTCCAAGGTATAAGTCAGGCAGATTTATGAAAGGAATAAGTTCATCCGAGGTCCCTTAACCTGTCAATGAATCCGATTTTCGTCCCTCAACCAGAAAACCAGACACAACGGGTCCCTCAAATATCAAAACTAGTGCAGATGAGGTCCCTCGGCGGTTTGAGGGCGGTTTTGGCTGACGTCGCGCCTATGTGGCTAATTTGACTCGGTCTTCATCTGACGTGGCGCTTACATGGCAATTCGATCCGGAAAATAATAAAACCCGTGGGACCCCATGTCAGTTCCACACACAAAACAATAAAAAAAAATGGTGAGACCCACATGGGCCCCACATGTCATCCTCACTCCTCACTCCTCCCTCCTCTCTCTCCCCTCTTCTCTATATCTCCGGCCGATGGAGCGGGGCGAGCGGCGGTTGGCAGAAGCGGGCGACGGGCGGGGCGGAGCGGGGCGGGCAGCGGCCGACGGCGGGCTAGGTCAGGTCCGCGGCGCGTAGGGCCATAGAGCGCAGATGGAGCGGTGCAGGGAGGGAGGTGGCGACGAACCTGGTGAGTGACCACGGGCTCGGCCTGCTTCATTGCGGCGGCGACGCCGTCGAAGGCGTATCCGGGCGATGGCCGCGACGGTGGGCGAAACCCAGAGATGGAGGCGATGGTCACGGGGGAGTCCGGCCTCCCCGCCCCCCACGCTAGCCTCCTTCCTCCCCCACCCGATGCTGCCCTTGATGGCCTCGATGTCGGCGTGAAGGTGGGACATCTCCCCGCGGATGATGGCCTCGATGTCGGCGGCGAGGTGGTTGACGCCTGGGGCTGGGACAACCACTCCAACGGCGGCATGTCCAAGTAAAACTATGTCAGCTCAGCTACGTTTGAAACGATGTCAGCTCTGCCGGCCAGCCGCTCCTCCCCGCCGTCGCCCGCTTCTGCCGGCTACCGCTCGCCCTGCTCCATCGGACAGAGAGAGAGAAGGGATAGAGAGAAGAGGGGAGAGAGAGGATAGAGAGAGGGAGCGAGGATGACATGTGGGGCCCACGTGGGTCCCAACATTTTTTTTATTATTTTGTGTGTGGAACTAACATGTGGGTCCCATGGGTTTTATTATTTTTCCTAACCGAATTGCCACATAAGCGCCACGTCAGATGAAGACCGAGTCAAATTAGCCATGTAGGCACCACCTCGGCCAAAACCGCCTTCAAAACCGCCAAGGGACCTCATATGCACCGGTTTTGATAGTTGAGGGACCCATTGTGTCAGGTTTTCCGTTTGAGGGACGAAAATCAGATTCGTTGACAAGTTAAGGGACCTCAGATGAACTTATTCCTTTATGAAATGTAATATTTCAAAATCAAGCAAGACAAATAATTCTCTCTTCTAGCTGCTCTTCCCGATCCCTCTGAACTCTCTTACTTCCAATTACTAAAAGGGGCATTGATTTTGATCTAGCAAGCTGTTTGGAGATCGAGGCTTCAGTTGGAACTTTTGTGAAGGCTCTCATAGAACTTGGTTCATTGGCTATGAGTCTAGAACTGTCTATCTATGTCTATGTATCCAACGGTTGGTATTAGTTCTTTTGTTTTATCCAATGGTACTATTTAGTTGATTACGTGGCCTAATGAGAGCGCATGAAAATATTCTGTTTTAACTACTTTAGATTAGATTGCATAACACACTTAACATTTACCTGCAGCTACGTCAGTATTTTTTAGGTTGTATCTTCTCCAACTAATCAAAAAGGAGATGATGCCATAGTTAAAGAATTCAGAATGCTACCAAAATAAGAATATTTACTCCCTGTAGCACTAGCATTTAAAGATAAGTGATAATCCAACATTGTAAAGTCCCTAGCATGCTCTCCAGCACATATGACGGGTTTTAGATTTTAGGTGAAGATGTCAGGTTTCTTGACATTGACTAGGGAAAGGAGGCAGCATGCGTAGTATGCTTGTTACACCCAAATCCTTGGTCTATATGTCTTTTCAATTAGATAGTTTTCCCCATACTTTCATAAGATTAAAACAAAGTTATCCATGCATATATACATTGATCAATTATGTACATTTTTCCACTTCTCATTAGTCATCATGCATTCATGTATCAGTTACCAAAGCACTAAGCATTTCTTTAAATTAGAATGATATATCGTGTTCAGCCATAATATAATGCCACATTTGGTATGCAGGAAACACACATGAACATTTGCATAAATTTACCAAAGAAGCAATCTCTGAAAACGTCCAGTGTATGGCGATTAAGCTGGCACACTTAATAACACATTCAATAAAATTCTTTTCTATTGCAGCGCCCATTCAGCTATTAATAAATTAACTTAGCAAAATCATGACAGTTGAGGATAAAAAAAAAAACATACTGGAACTTCCTCCACATCTGCAAGCACTTGAGGATGATGTTAGAAGGAATAAAAGACCCTCTTGTACTGCGGATAGACATGCCCACAACATCTCCCCTTAAGTCAATGACTGGTCCCCCGTTGTAATACTACAATATTTACATTGACAATATTTAAATTATTAACCACAAACAAAAAAAATGAAACTATAATAGGAAAAAATGAGTATCATAATCTATTTTTACCTCAGGAGGTGCACTGAAACCATCAATGTATACATAGTGACGGCGTTCATTCATATGTGGATTCAAATACTGAACCCTACCATAGCTTGTTCTCAGATACGAATTTTCATCTCTTCCCAGGATAAAGACCTCTTCAGCCCATTTCACTCCTTCATTAAAGGAGGGTAAATGGATGGATCTGTCCACTACAATCTTGTAGAAAGCAAGGTTGTAATGCTCCTGACAATATAGAAAATGACCCTCCACAGTGGTACCATCCACAAAGCGAACTGCAACCTGAAATAGTAGTTAATTATTGCATTATATTTGTGAGAGCATAGAAACTAAAACGGACCAGATTGAAATCTATACTCCTTATATAAGGGAGTGGTGGTGGTGGTTCCACCACCCCCGCTAACAAATCCCAACTTTTTTTTAAGAAAGAGAAATGACATGTGAGGTTAGAGGGCCCACATGCCAAACAATTCCACCAACGAACTACTTTTTTGTGGGAAGGAAAAAACAGTGTGGAGCTAAAAAGGTCCATATGCAAGTAACAAATATGAACAACAATTAAGAGATGGTAATAACATGTTAACGATAAATTTCTTTAATTAAAATCATGTTGCAAGGCACAGGAAATATGCTAGTTATTATATTTAAGAGAAAAGCTTACATTACTGCCTGTATTTTCTAGAGAAGTCTGGCATATCCTATCCAATATGCAACTAGGAACCTTGATATGATATAGTACCTCCCAGTTCCAAGCTTTAGTTAAATAATGGCATTATAACCAAGCCCATGTATTCCATTTATATTCTTTCATCCCTTATAGGAGTCATCCATAGACAGAGTACTAGTTAATGTTGGGAACCATTGATGCGTGTGGATGTGCAGACAAGGATCTATCTAGTTTATTTTGTCCCCACCCCCCTTGTGAGAGATACATGTTGCATCATCTTCAATAGCATGTTCCTTCTTCACTTTTGGCAATATCCACGTCTTACACGACTAATGAGAGTTATTCAAACTGCTTTGAATTAAGACTAACTAAAACGAAATTATGTCAAAAGTACCTAACAGATGCTCTAAATACTGCAAAAAAGTTAGCCCACAATTTAGTACTGATATAGGGCCTTGTATATGGCTAAAAGTAACACATGCTAGATTTAACTTGAAAACATATTTTTACAAAATCATTATGGCCTCATATAAGTGAAAGTAGAAGAATCAAATGTGCCAATTTCCTATGTAAACTCACCTTAGCATTAGAAGCATACTGGTTTGCACTTTTCCAATCATCTAAAGAAGGGGACTGTTTGCAAATAAGAAGGGCTGATGTCAAAATAGTGCCTGTTTTGCTCTTCTCATCCCAATCGATCATGAAACCAGAACTCTTAGATAATGACTTGCCATCTAAAAATAAATTTACAAATTACTAATCAAATAGCGAGACTTGTAAATCTTAAATGCACATGAATAAAATAGGATGATGTTTACCTATAGTAGACGAAAGACCCACAACAAACTTTGCAGCATGAAGAACAGTCTTAGTCGATGATTCACGAATGTGGAGGAGGTTCCGATCAGTAAGGCATGTGTCAGGTACGCATGGGAGTAAAGTGGGCAGTTTCATTTGACAATCTAGAAAGGGAAGAGCAAGAATTTTCACCTGTTAGTTCTAATAAGAAATGCATGATTGCCAACTCCTTTTTTCTTCCTTTCTTTTCTTTTTATTGCAAAATCTAGTACGGATAAATAGCCCTTCTTTTCTTTCCCCAAAATCTTGCAGGTAATTTGTTTTCATTTCTTTTTACCAGAATGAAATTAAAGGAGTATAAACCTCTTTTTGCCTGGTATTTGGCCGGGTAAATTGTTTTCATTTATTTTTACCAGAATGAAATTAAAGAGAATGAAATTAAAGGAGTATAAACCTCTTTTTGCCTGGTATTTGGCTTCCCACGGATCAAGTGCCCTGAAGTCTTCACCTCCGATAGGCTTATAGATCTCTCTACCCATGGCATTGTGTCCAATTACAACACGGGGTATGTATGGCTTACGGAGAGGAGAACTGCAGCAAGAAGAGGCCTCGTCCTCCACTGGAATCCCCTCCTCCACTCCTGACGCTGAAGGCAGCGCCAGTGCGCCACCTTCTCCTCCTCCTGCTGAACCCCCAAATCCATCGTCTTCGCCGCCCTTTCCCCCTTGTTGCTCCTCCGCTACTGACGCAGACGCTGAAGGCGGCGCCACCTTCACCCCCTCCTCCTCCTCATGCACCCCCAAATCCATCTTCTTCGCTGCCCTTTCACCCTCGCTGCTCTGATCGGCCAGAGTTGCTGACCTTTTAGCTGATCGCCTCTCGGATCGCTCCGCGCGCGCCGCCGATTGGGATGCGAGCGAGGCCACCACCCCGCTGCCGCCGTCCCGGTTGACACTGCGGCGTCGCCTTGCGCTCGACCGGGTCTTCACGGACCCCGAAGCCTCCTCCGCTCCCGCTGCGCCAGGCGCCATGGCATGCCGGAGGGAAGCCTAGGGTTTCTTGCTTGCGATCGCCGGAGAAACTCGCACTTCTACTCGAGGAATTTTTGGAGTTGGGGATTTCGATCGAGGGTTCGGGGAGAGGGCGAGCTAAGGCCGTTGCGGCGAGGGGATCCGACCCGACCCGACCCGACCCAACCGCATCGGTCGGTTCTAGGAATGAAATGTGATAGTATATCCTATAAAATAAAAAGATAAACATAAAAATCGTAAATTCAAAGACAAAAGTAGTTGTAAGAATCTAATTTTTGTGCATAGTAACTTAGTGTAACTGTACTATATAATTGAATTTAAATGATTTTTTTTAGAATTACACAGTACAACGCATACACTCACAACGCACGCGCACTCACCCCTATGAACACACGCACGCAAACTCTACCCCTACGAGCATCTTCGAAGACTGGGCTGGCAAATCCTAGAGAAATTGACGAAGTCACCACATGCGTGTAACTGCAAGTTGGATTTATATGAACACGAATATGTATGAACAAAAAATCGAAAGATAAAATTGCCAGTGAAATAACAAAATCAGACCGAAAATCAAATGTTATTGAATACACGTAAAAAAATGGATACGGTCATCATTGTGATTCCAAGATCAACGAAGACTTATATATAATTGTAGTTCTTTTATCTAAAACAGTATGCTAAATTCATGCTAAATATAATATGGCACTATAAATTAGACTCTTTAGTTTTTAAATTTAATCTTTTAGATTATAAATAAGAGGTTGTATCCATATTAAATCTCATTTTAGAATTTTATTTATTTATTCTAAAAAAATTCACAAATGTAATTGACATGTACTCTTTCTTTATAAAATAAGCTATTACATTGAAAAATAATAGTCAATTTATTTAATATACCATTAAAATTTTAATATTTGTAATATCAATAATACTACCCAGTACTATACTGGTTTGGAACCAGTAAATATAACATATTGATACATACTATGTTTCTAAAAGAAATATATATTTCACAAATAAGTTGGGTTAGAGATATATAGGCCTAAAGTTGAAGGTAATGTGGGGTAGATAAACTTTTTGGATAGTTTGAGATCGAGAATTTTTTTGCTTGAGCTGGATACTATCCTTACTATATTTATTTCTATCTCCAGAAAAAGAAAATCTGAATTTGTTTTTATCTCCCAAAACATGTAAAAATTATCTGACAAACACTGTTTGTTTTAGAAAAGTGTCCGGAGTGGAAACTATCCGAACTAAGTTGGGTGACAGACTACAGCCTTTGATTATTGATCCGATGGCTATCGTTTATCCGAACTAAGTAAAAACGTCTGATTGTTTATCTGATAGTAGTTAACATACATGTGCGTTGTAACGAGCACATATGATTTAGGATGGGTTGTATGACACAGTACATAACTATGTATGTCCGTCCCTTTTGCATTGGATTAGGGATGCTTCAAACAAATTAAATGAATCGATTTTTCAGGCCTGATAAAGGAACTTATAACACATCAAGTTGTCCAATAGACTGAGCAGGAGGTCCTCAGCAAGATTTTCTCACATCCTAGCATATTCTTCCCTCATATTGATTAAGCATGCAGGACACTTATTACCAAATATAACAAGACAACAAGCATCAGCACTGCCAAAAAAATTGCAAGCAACCACAAGCAAAAAGCCCACACAATTCTGAAACTACATTTATAATGAACCAAACAAGCTCCACGCATATTGTTCCCTTTCGTCGCTCATGCAGCTGTGCCCCATTTTTAACCAGCTTAATAAGCATCATTGCAAGAGCGCCGTAACCGCAGCAGCAAGTAGATTACTCATTTTGTGCAGCCGAGTAGAAAATGGAAGGGCACCAAGCAATAGCTACAACGTAAGAGAAAAAAAAGAAAAAAAAGAAGGATGAAAGGAACCATCCCGGAAAATAAAAGATCTTCAGCTCCCTGCCAATGAAAATTAAAAGATAAAAGCAGGTTGAAGAAAAAACAAACATCTTCAGCAAAATAAAAGATCTCAGAAATTAATGCCTCTTCCACATAAATTCATTGCAGTAAAAGTCTGTCCTACAAGATGAACTGTATTTTTTCTTGCTATTCTTCCCAGTACTTGTAACCACAGATGATTTCTGATGTTTTTTCCTTGCATCATTCAGTGGCCCAAAATCAAGAGAATGTTAGGCAAGAAAACTGATCCATGACTCCAGGTGGCCCAACGCTACAAATGAAATTCTTTGATTGGAACTACTTGCAAGGATGGCAGGGAGCACTGCAAAATTAAGAAACAAGACATCATAAAACTACTTGTAATTGGTACACATAAAACAAAACGAAAACAAAAAGGGGAAATGCTGCAATTCAACAACTAATTAATAATACCTGGAAAAACTATATGTTTATCTATTAACAACCATATGGTTATTAAAATCACTGCTGCTATTATAGGATCAGATATGCTAAAGTAACTGTATGTTTACCTATTAATAAATAACAACCACGCACTCTAGAAAGATAATAAAGTAACTGTAAGTGTTTTGGAGTGAGCAGTGAGCAAACAACACATTATATATTACCTTTTCTTTTTGCAAGGTGCATCTAAGAAATGTATATATTTGCTTGTGTGAATTTTTTGTGGGCTAATATGTGTCCATGTAGGACTACTTGCTAAAAAAATGGTGCATATGATGTTGCTAAGTACCCCCAAAACCCTGAATTCACAAATAGGCCTACAGCTAAAATACTAAAAGCTTCTTTAAACTACCAGATCCAATATCTCTAAAATATCATGACAAAGGGAATAACCAAAAGGAGCTGGTTCTCTTTGTATAGAGGAGAGGGGGGCGTGCAAGAAACCCCGTGAGAAGCACGCTAGATTCAAGATTGGAACCCAGGTGGGGTGGACGAACACCTTCGCACCACACCACCTAAGCTATGCTCAAATCTCAAAAATATCATTAACAATAGCACAGTTTTTGGAGTAGAATATATAAAGAATAACTGTTCTGCTCATAAAACAATATTTGTAAGTTGCAGAATAATGACGTTAAAACTACTATGGTACTGGTGATTAAAGTTATACCTACTGAGTAAGGATACCCCAAGAAGTTAAAGCCTGGCAGATGTCGGGTAATGATATAAACCAAGAACAGCCATCTGCCCCTCCATGCAGTACCCCAGTGAAATTTGCATCAGCATCAAGCAAAGGAGCACCTGAGCCCCCAGGTTCACTCTGTATATTCACTTCAACCAGTGTCATAGTGTACCCGACCAGGTTTGTTTTACTTGTGTCAGCGTACTCCCGGTCACAATGAGAAACCTTGCCCGATGCTACTGTCCTGGGCCTAAATGGTGGCCAAGAAACCATAAGAACCTTCTCCATTGGCTCTAGATGTCTCTTACTAGGAACCAACGCAGGATGAGAATGCCGGCAAGCCCGTCCATTCTTCCCATATGCAAGCACATTCTTTTTGCTTACATTTAGAAGGATTAAGTCTTTGTCACAGTCAATCTGAACAATGTTTGCCCTCGAGTAGTATCTTATCTTGTCCGGTGTCTTGTCTTTGCGGAAACTACATTCATAGTGATCACAGATGATATTAATGTCATATAAATCACCTATCTCTTGAGCTGATATTGGATTTTCTGAAGTAAAAAGATGGTCAAGGCAATGGGCAGAGCATAATATCTTAAGTTCCTGAGACTTGTCATCTACCACAAAACCCGTGCAACATCTATCCTCGAAAGTTAGTTTCTGTCTCTTGTCCTCCGGTACAGTTTCCAATCGATTAAGAATTTCTTCTATCTTTCCATCAGCATCCTTTTTGGGCACAAAGTCCACCAAGAAAACTGACTCCTTGGTTTTGTGGAAAATCCATTTCTCTAACGGATTTGAGAAAATGGTTGGTGCAGCCATCTGGTGGAGATCCTTCTTCTGATTGACACAGCGAAAATCAAAGCACCTGCAGGTTGGTCCGTATGAAGCAACAACCACGGCACGGAAGCAGCCGCGCTGGCCCCAGTAAGGCCTGTAACAGTACAACATATAACTAGGAGTAAATTCCCTGTATGCACCTCAAAACTGACTCAATCCCTTCCATGCCCTCCAATTTTGTCCAATCCCTTGTGTGTCATCGAGATTTCACTGTGATCCCTACCACATACACTATCTTACTACAGATAAAATGCAAGCAATCCTAGAACAAACATTTCTACAACTTTATCATCACCAGTTCACCACCCCCACCTTTCTCTCCCTAAAAAAAGCATTCCAACAAATAGTCAAATAGTGAATCATAGATAGATCAATACGCCAGGTCTGGGATGTATAAGTGCAAGGGTTCAAGTGTATCCACTTATATAATCCTGCATCCCTACATAGGCAAAATCAATAATAGTGAATCCACTTAAACCCTGCACTATCAGAGTAATCAATAATCATACATTTCCAGGACATTGTTTCGGAACGCGCCATAGATAGATTAATAGGGTCTGAGATGTAGGTTCTAGGAGCATACCAGTGAAGCTTGATGATCAGATGATGGTGAACAATGAACTTTTCCGATAAGGGGCAGCACTCAGTGATAATCGACGAAGAAGTGCTCAAAGCAAGCCGCAGGTTGGTTCCGATGTAGCAACGACCAGGGCCCCAGCAAGGTCTGTATCAGGACGCCGCCGCGCCGTTGGCGAGCAGAGAACGGGGGGGCGAGCTGGCGTCGGAGACCGCGGCGCGCGGGGCCGCACGGCGGGAGAGGAGGCGGAGCAGAGGCAGAAGCAGCTGAGGGAGGCGAACGCGGCCGCCCTGAAGAGGAGGCGAGGGCCGGCGCCGAGGACCCGCGACAGACGCGGCGCGAGCTGACGCCGAGACTCACCCGCGACGGACGCGGCGCGAGCTGACGCCGCTTGGTCGGTGAGGCCTCCTCGGGAGCTAAGCTTGTATGCGTTGTGTGGGAGGCTCGATGGCGAGGGAGGAGGCGCTGCGCGGCGGCGGCGGCGGAGGGAGGCGTCGCGCTGCTCTGCGCCGCGCCGCGCCGCGTCGCCAGCGACGACGACGACGACGGCCGCGACCGCCGGGGAGAGGGTTTTGCGTGCGTTGTCTCCTCTCCTCACCCCACCCACCCACTCTCTCTCCCCGGGTTTTGCGGAGGTGTGCGCGAGAAGCCTTACGCGCATGGGCCTGTACTAACGGATTTGGGTCGAATCTAAACGATCCGTACACATCCAAATCCACTAACCGATTAGATATTAATCATGGGGGTCTTGTTCTTTTTTTTTATTATATTCTTATTAATCACATACTTAAAGCAATAAGATTATTATTTTTATACAGGAAAAACAACAAGATTATTATTTTAAATAACTTTCAATAAATAGACTTTTAATATACATTTGGCCGATTGTCTTATTAAAAAATTTTATATAAATATGCAAAAGGTTAGACCTAATTAAAGTATCTTCAATAATAAATTAAGTCGTAATAAAATAAATGATAATTGTATTTTTTTTTCTTATGGTCAAACCAAAGAAAAAAATGGCAACATGATACCATGACAGATACACGCAAACAAGCAATAACTCAACATTGCATGGCAATTCTTTTGCTGATTTTGAATACGTTTTCAGGGCACTATTCTGAATATGATAAATTGTTTTCTTGGTTGTTTGCTCCCATCCTCTACATGGATGGACCTTAAGTCTGTTGTCAATTCTTAGGGCCTGTTCACTTTAGAGCCATTTTCAACCTTACTTTCAACCTTACCAAATTTTGGTAAAGTTACCAAAAAAGTGGCTACATTTAGTTTGCTGCTAAATTTTACTAACTATATAAGAAAACCTATAAAATTTTGGCAAAATTTGGCAATGCTAAAATTTAGTAAGGTTTTTTTTTTAACAAAGTGAACAAGTCCTTACAGAAAATTAAGAGACCGACAACTTTTAGATAACACAGTAGTAGACAGCACAGAAGTTGATCGATCTGCCTAGCTTCAATATTCAGAGACACGTACTCCTGAAAACTCGCCTGTTCTTAATTGGTCTTGCGACAAGCTGTGGTATTTCATGGTGCTAGAGGGTACATTTTGGGTGGTATGGTGGATATCCTTTTTCAACTTAATAGCAACTACTTCCTCCGTATTTTAATGTATGACACTGTTGACTTTTTGACCAACGTTTGACCATTTGTTTTATTTAATTTTTTTTGTGCAAATATGAAAATATTTATGTCATGCTTAAAGAACATTTGACGATGAATCAAGTCACAATAAAATAAATCACATTTACATAATTTTTTTAAATAAGACGAATGGTCAAATATTGGATAAAAAGTCAACGGCGTCATACATTAAAATATGGAGGGAGTATAATCAGACAAACGAGGGCATATACACAGGGGATGCGAAACAAGGACATATATTGCATGAATAGAGAGGATCAAATGAATCCATTAACGTGTCATCATAAGCATCACATAGCAGGCAGTGCCTAAAAACAATGCAATGTTGTTTCAGGCTTGAAAATTAATACTAGCTGCCTAAGCAAACAGAGGTTACCATCAAATGAACATAGGGCATCAAATGGTTGGTAATCCAAGCTACATAAATAATTCTCAAGAATAACTACCAACCAAAAGATATACTAGTTTAATGTGAGAAGCAGAAGGCAGAATTTGCTTCAACAGACCTCTCATAACATCAAGATGGAAGTTAACATTATAAAGTGCATATTTTGATCAACAGAGCTACATACAGGCTTGATAAAAACCAAACGTGTGTACAAACTTTAGAACTTAATTTAGATGGTTTGCAAGGTTAAACTGAGGCACCTTAGCTGCCCTAGGCTCAGTGAGGCCTCTCACAGTGCGGTGAGTTGGACCGGTGCTTCACTCGGCCAGCTAGGAAAAACACCGACGTGGCGGATGGTATCGCGCCCTAGCAAAGCGACTCGCCCCCAAGCAGAGCACCGCGATTCCTTCTCTCGGCGGGTCCACGCGCGGCGTCAAAAAACAGAGTCCCGTGCGCTGTGGACCGCGTGACCCCGACGCGCTCGTGCCCTCGCGACGGACGGGAGGCGGAATCCCGGATTCGCCCTCGAAAATCGGAATAGCGATAGCTTCGCCTTCTCTCTTCCGTCCCCTTTCTTGATCCTCTCTTCTTCTTCAATGGACCTCGCCGGGAGGAACCCCGCCGCCGACGTCGCCGTCTTCGTCGCGTCATCCGCGTCGTCACCTCCGCAGGTGACTCTGACGGTGGTCGTCATTGCCATCTTCCTCGTCGGCAAGAAGAGCATGCAAGTTAAGGAGAAGTAATGAATGGCTCAAGTTCATCACCAACGAATGACCCTTGAAAACGAGAAGAGATGAACAAAGAAAGCACATCGCCATGGCATCATCAAAGATTGCAGTGACAGTGTGACTGTATGCAAGAAAAGCATCATCACCGGAGTAAACACCGGGTAGTCCTCGCCAACGGTGGCCACCGCTGCCGCTGCCGTCCTGGAGAGCGCGGGGGACGCGGCCGGCGGGAGGCCGGGCTGCGGCTGGCGCCGGCGCCGCCGCCACCACCGCGGCGTGGAGCGCCCGCAGCTCGACCGCCATGGCGATGGCGGCCTGCACGTCCTGCCGCGTCGCCTGTACCGGCGGCGTCGACGTCGCCCCCAGCCGCGGCTCTTCTCCACCCCCACCTCCGTCTCGGCCACAACGTCGCCGCGAAGGACGCCGAGGCACTACTCCCCACGCACAGCAGCCTGCTGTCCGCCGCCGCCCGCCTCGTTCCGCACAGGTTAGAGCCCCGCGCGTGCTCGTGCGCCCGCGGAGACGACGAGCACAGGGGTGGGCTGCATCGGCGACGAGGACCACGCCGTCGGCCGCCACCTCCAAGCCCGGGATGCATCGGCGAAGAGGACCACGGCCTCCTCGTCAAGTCCGCCACGGCCGCCGGAGGTGAGGGACAGAGAGGGAGGGGAAGGAGGTGGGGGGACAGAACTCCCGCCACCGATTCCTCCGCTCCACGCCGCCGGCCGTGGATGGAGCAGCTGCTCGACGACCTCCTCCTCGTCGCCGACCTCCACGGCTGCTTCAGGGAGTCGCCTCCTCCGTGGCCGCCGCCTCCTCCTCCGCCTCCAAACCACCCCAAATCAACTCAAGTCGCTGCCGCTGGCGGTAGCGTTGAGGGCGGCGACCACGCCGGGCGGCGAGGGAAGGAGGCGCGACGGCGTGTGCGGCCGAGTGGGAGGAGGCGAAGCAGCGCGAGTAGAACTCGAGGAGAGGAGGCGAGGGCTTTTCGGGAAAGTGGAGGCAATGGAGTAGTACTCGATGTCTCAATGCCTTTTCGTGGGGGTCCACCGGCTGTGGGCTTAGTATCCTAACTATAGGTGCTTGCACTGCGAGATAAGTGTTTTTATCAAGTTTTGAGGCTGAGGTACGGGCCCTATAGCTTACATTGTAAATAGCCTGATAAGTAGTACTTGAGGTTAAACTGTGGCACTAGAGCCGAACACGCTCACCGGTATACTGTATCGGGACTGACCAGAGAAACTGTAGTGAGTGAATTGACCTACATTTCAGCACAAAGACGTCCCAGGCTCACCGATGTATTATACCAGAAACAAGACTGTTTCTATACAAGAGTGAATTGACGTACATTTCTGCAGGTTAAATTACACTACTACTGGTAAGTTACATAGACATTTGCTGTTCAGGGACAGGCAGCGTTCGTTTGGAGGATATCGAGGGAGAAAGCACCTCGTTTCCGCACGCACGCTTTCCAAACTATTAAACGGTGCGTTTTTTGCAAAAATTTTCTATAGGAAAGTTGTTTTAAAAAATCATATTAAACTATTTTTAAAATTTAAAATAATTAATACTCAATTAATCATGAGCTAATGGCTCACCTCGTTTTGCGTATCTTCTCAATCTCCTCAATCTCCTTCTTCTCAAACACACCTTTATTTGTCTAACTAAAGATCAGTTCAACAAGAGATACACGCTGCAAAGCATGTAGAGAAACAGAGATTCCGAAGTAGACCTACAAAAATAATATCATTCTCACAAATTACAAATTTACATGTGAGATCGAGCTACAGAGACCATCGAAGGAAGAAAAAAAAAGATGAACCATAAGAAGAAAATGAAAACAAAAACAGGCTCCGCGACTGGCGCAAGGCAAATATTGTCCGTGGCTACAAATTCATTTACAATGGGTTGGAGAAGCTGGCGACAGAAAGAACAGGCATAGTTCAGTGTTACCTGGACACCCGTGTCCAAAATATTTTGCCAAACCGGGCACCTCAAGTCCGAGTTGGATCCCGACACCTGTGTCGGATTTCAACTGTCCAATTCTTGTGTGCCGATTCGTACAGCTAGTCCGAGTCAGATTCCGACACGTGTGCCCGTGTCCAGGTAACACTACCTACAGTATTTACAGTTACGCTGCACCACCCTTAGCTATGTACACTTGGAGACAGGTACAAACCTGCCATGGGATGCGTCTTTCAACCACCTCGTTGAATGGGTTTGTTTAACGCGATCCAAGAAGAGGTGATGCCTGCATTCACATCAAAAGGAAATGCATTGGTCTATATGATGAATTCATGTTGTGAATTGTGTGAAATAGGTATATCCATGTAGTTCCAGACAAACCTCTCATACTCCAGCTTCTAGCTTCTGAATAACTATGCCGTTCAGTATAAGCTCTGATTCGAAAACACTGGCACCTGTTGATTCATGGTCATTAACTGGCTGTCCATATTCTTTGGTGAAAACAATATGCACACTGAGATATGAAGATTATATCTCATTCTCACCTCTCTTTAGAAGCGGTGAACAGGTTTCATAGTCCTCCTCACATGAGATAACCAGTAGGTCATCTGGTACTTCCTTCGTCATGGACCTTCCGATATTTTCTAATGGCTGCATACAATAAAGAGAACATTCATACAAATGCTTATATTGTAAAAGAAGAAAATGTATGGAATATTAACTAACTTGTTATAAGCTGCAGATGGGGTAGTAATTCATGGAATGAATCATACAAGTCGCTCAAAAACACATTCAGGCAAGGTTCAGACGCTATAGATGAAGTGTTTTCAAATTGGCGTGGTGTCCGTTGGTAAATTACCAAGTTTATGAAGTGTTTTCCCCCAAAAAGTGAGTTCGGACGGTGTCCTACGGTTAAAACACGAAGTTAAAATGTCATGTAGCAAAATTTGTCATTTGTTTATCACGTGGAATTAAATTTTTGGGAAAACCGCTCGGAGATTCTATCCTAATATCATCTAAATTAAAACGTAAAATTTGCTACATGACACTCAAAAATTGTATAATTTGTTGATAGACATCGAAAAAACTGGAGAGATAAATTATTGAGAAAGACAAGAATACCCATGGAATCACATTCTTCAAACACAATATTACATCATATTTCATCACATGCTTCAAAAATTTAGAAATTATGCAACTCGAAATTTAGCATCACCCCAAGTATATCACTGGTAGACATCGTATTTCATCTTCACTCCAGTCTCACCCGAAATCTTTTGACCATAGAGGCATTCTTGTCTTTTTGAAGAATTTCTCTCTCCAGCTAAGTCGAAAGTGACCTCCAGCAAATTATCAGTTTTTAGAGTGTATTTTAGCCATGACATGTTTTTACAATGTCTATCAACAAATTACACAAAATTTAAGTGTTATATAGAAAATTTTACCAAATTAAAAACTTGTGGAACCTTTTATAGTCAACATTCTCATTCTGGCTGCGCAATTCCTTTCATCAAATAGTCTGCCGAGAAAAAGAGCAACAAATACTTGTCTACCTTGACACATACTATGCACGTATCTAATTTCAAGAGCAAGATACACAAACAGTAATTAAACCTGTGCATGTGTTTCTTCTAGTTCACTAAACTTTGAACATACATTTTCGGGTCTCTGAATCTGGCTTGGGTATCATAGAAATTCAAATGGGCTCCAAGCTGCTCTATGCACTGTCATGGCATGACATGTTAGATGCCTATGTGTCAATCTGACCCACATACTAAGTCAGAAAAACAAAACTAAAAAACATATTTTAAAATTTTATCTTCTCTTTTCTACTCCCTTCATCCAAAAAACAAACCAACATCATACTAGGATATATGATAATGAATCTCGACATAATATGTGTTCATAGTATATCAGAGTATGTCACATTCTAATATGAGATTGGTCTATTTTGGGAGGAAGGGAGTACCTAGATAAGAAAAGATGTTTTTATTTTTTATAGGGAAAAGTCTATTTTACGCCCTCAAACTTTTATGCTTGTCTAATATACACCCTCGAACTCTAAAACCGGATATAATATATCCCTCAACTGTCAATACCGGACATTTTACCTCCAAAGTTGTTTTGCAGTGGTTTTTGCACATGTGGATGACACTTCGGATGCCACATCAGTCCTTCGCCCGGTCGGATGAAATAGAGTAATATAGCATTTGTTCTCTCTTATACCGTTCTTTCTCTCTCCCTGTTCATTGTTCTTTGAAGAGTAAATTTCACAAAACTACACGTTTTGTGATTCAAGTTGCAAAAAACCACACACACTTTGATACTTGGCACTTAAGTACATATATTTTGGTAGTGTAGTTTCACAAAACCACGCTATCGATGAATGGATTCACCCGCGAGATAACGTGACTGTTTCACCTAGGGCGAGGATATGGCATCCTATTACCAGCCATCACACGAAATTAATAGGATGCCACGTCCTCATCCTATATGGAACAACCACGTCATCTCACGGCTGGTAAATCCATTCATCGATAGTGTGGTTTTGTGAAAACAAACTACCAAAGCATATGTACTTAAGTGCCAAGTGTCAAAATGTGTGTGGTTTTCTGCAACTTGAACAATAAAACATGTAGTTTTGTGAAATTTACTCTTCTTTGAAATAGCGAGGAAGCAGGCGTGTCTTGTGTCTTTGAAGCAACGAAGAAGGCGTGGGGCGGCGGCGGTGGCGGCTGGGGTTCTCACCGCCGGCTCAGGTGGTGGCCGAGACTGGCTGAAAGGAGGCCTACCTGTTGTGTCTGACGAAAGTACTAACATGCATGGATTAACAAGCTTAATTATACTGAAGAACCAACTGAACTTTTATCTTTTTGCACTTTGTCAGTAATTAGAGATTCAGAATTCAGAAATCATCTGTTGTGTTTGCCCATCCTACACTGAATTTTCTACTCCAATGATGAGCAGGGATTTTTGTTGGCACCAGCACGATCCCTTCGCCGGAGAACTCATCGTCAGTGTTCACCAAGATTGTTCAGTCTAAGCAGACCAAGTATGTGCGCGTGTTCAACATCGGCACGGACCATCGGCTGCTGCGATCGCTGGTGAACCCCGGAGAGGAGGTCATCCTCACTGTCCTGAACGAGCAACTGGAGCATGTCGCGTGGTTCCTCCCGGCGACTAGGATCACGCGCATCATGACCAACGACGACGTCCTGGTTAGGTCCCTCGGGAACGTGTATTTCCTCGTCCCCACGATGGTGAACCTCCACCCCACTCTCGCGGCGGCGCGCCTGGACCTCTACTAGAAAAACGATTTTTTAACGACGTTGGCCTTTTATTTTTTCAGGTGGGTATGACCATCGGAGCCAAATCTCCGCCTACGAAAATATAAATCGAATGGATTTTTGTCATCCGCCTGCGAAAATTAATTTTTCCAGGCGGACTTAAGTGGTCCGATTAATTTTCGCAGGCGGTAGCTTAAGAGCTCCGCCAGCCAAAACATTGGACCCATTAAAAGCGACAGCTAACCCTACAAAAATTTTAAGTCCTCACCCATTCTCCCCACACTCCCAGCCTCTCCTATCTCCCTCCCTCTCCTCTCTCCGGTGCTTTATCTCTCCCTCTCCTCTCTCGGTGCGGCTACCGGCGGCGGCGGCGGCAACTCCAGGCGGAGGAGTGCGGTGGCGCGGAGGGTGGAGGAGGCAGCTGGCGGCACCGGGGCGGAGGGTGGAGGCGGCGTCTCCCCTCCCTCCCAGATCTGGCCAGAGAGGGAGGGGGCAGCGCGGCGGTGGCACCGGCACGGAGGGTGGAGGCACAGGGGTGACGGTAGGGGTGGGGACGTGTGGGCGACGGCGGCAGGGCTGACACGCATCCGTCGTCGGCGAGCGGCTCCCCTCCCCTCCCTCTCCTAGATCCGGCCCCTACAAGGAGAGGGGAGGGCGGTGGCGGCAGCGGAGACCTCCCTCCCTCCCAGATCCGGTCGGAGGGGGGAGCGGGGCGGCGGCGGCACGGAGGAGTTTGCCGGCGACGACAACTTTATTTTTTTTTAGTTTACGTGTTGATGGATGTTAATTTGTAAATTGGTGCTGTGGATTTGAATCCAATACTCTTGTATTGATTTATGAATGTTTGTGATTTGAATCATCTTGGGATGATTTATGGATGTTTGTGATTTGAATCCAATTTGTGATTTGGGATT